AAAACAACAAAAGCAAAAAACATCACCACTGATTAGCAGTATGGCTGTCACTCTTTTCCCAACATTGACATTCATATGGCACTTAACTCAAACGTTCAGCACAGGATCTGTATTCAAATGTTTCAAATCAAACACACACACAACTGCAATTAAGCTTCAGTGTAACTCTTCAAATCATAAATAGTAAAGATTCCTTTATCGTCTCATATATTAAACATATTTAAAAGGCAGTAGTAGAAACAACAAAATATCTCTCTCCGGCGACACCTTTGCCGACGTCGAGCGTCTTTAAGCGGATCTGACCAACGGCAGGCTGTGAAAAGAAGACACGCCGCCTCGCACTCTGAAGCTGACAACGTAGCAGCGCCGAGATAGGCCGGGTTCTCGAAAGACACGGAAACACGTCTCCTCGAATTTACACGCACGACCTTTGCTCCGTCCGCTCGCACGCACAGACACGCACTCCCACTCTGAGGTTCAGGGAAAGGACGGCCGGCGAGATGGCCGCGTCATCTGCGTTCCTGGCATCGGAGATAACAGGTTTAAATGCTTCTAGGTTTTATTTTTTTTTGTTTGTCTTGTTTTCTCTCAGAAAACACCTCTGCACCAGCTATAAGGTGAACACTGTGCATGGCAATACGCAACGCAGCTTTGCATATAACATCCCAGGTTCTCGGACGTGGAGTAGTAAGAAACAACAACAACAAAAAACAAAAACAAACATTCTGGTCAGGCCTTCCTGGTCATCATAAACCCACACAAAGAAGAGGCACAATTCATACACAGGTAACTAACTATAAAGCTAGAAGTTTCCTTTCATATTCTTTATACAGATGGAGGCAGAAAACGGGATTGTTCTTAGAGAAAAACACAAAACAAAGATTTAAATTGGGAACAGAAACATGTTTTCAGAGTGGGGTTTATTGTCCAAGCTTCAAGCCAAAAGTCACACAGGCTTTAAACAGAACCCAAATGTCCAAAGTAATCATTACCTCCAGCGGTGTGTGTCCACAAGACGTTTGAGCTGTGGAGTGAGTCAGAAGGTTGATACTGTTTTGTCATAGATCTGCATAGCAAAGCCAGGCTCCTTCCCTGATTAGAAGTCGTCACATAAGCCGAGGAATGTGGAGTCGCCCTGATCCGTCTGTCTGCCCAGAAAATGACAAGAGCCGAACTAAAGCTTTCCACTTTAATGCAGTAAAATGGATTTTTTTATTTGTATTTTATTTTATTTTTTTGACGCAGGTGTTCAGTTGGAATCGGTGTAGCATGAAGGCACCCCCCTTCCTTACAGGTCAATATTTCCATCTCCCCCTCGCAGTGCCGCCGCTAAATGAAACCAGCGGTTTAGATGCTCAGCTGCCTACTTTCTTTCTTTCTTTTTTTTTTGTCCTCAACAGAAGACAAACAAAAGGAAAAACACTCCCTTCTTTCAGATATTGTTCTCTTCCCTGTTTCGGTCTTCATTAGCTGTTGGTGTTGGTGTAGCGGAGAATCGGAGCCAAAGCAACTGCTTTACTGCTCACTTCAAGGAAAGCCAAGAAAAATTTGGGGCAGGCTTTCCACGGATTTATTAATCGGTTTCAAAGTCTCTGGTTTCGATGCCCTCTCGCTCTTTTGGCTGGGATTTGTTTTGTTTTTACTGACTAAGTAGCTGCCCCAAAGAAATATCTGCATGGAGCTCCAGCGGACTGTTTAATCTAATTTCTTGAAAGCTTTTTCTGGAGCTCCGCTTGATCCAGAACCAGCGTTTCACTGAGTTCCACCAGGTGTTTGCTAATTGCTGCTTGCTAGTCTGAAGGAGCCGAGTGGAGGCGTCGTACGGGAGGGCTGCTCTGTGAAGCTGCAGCCCTGAGGAGAAGCTTCGTCCTTCAAGGCGGAGCTAGATCCAACCGAGCGTTTTTCATAGCTGAGTGGTAGACTAAATGATTTCACAACCATGCATGAAAAAGTCAAGGTATTTTTTTTGATGAGGGAACAATATTACAACATGACGTAAAGCTTAAAAAAAGTAATTATTACATAGCAATGTCCCTTTAAATGGAACTCGATCTCCACTAATGGCCCAAAAGCAGCTCATCAATCAAATAGTAAATTCGAATTCAGACTTATGATTGTCTGATTAGAATTTTTTTTTTCCTCCATTTTCAGAACTTTTTTTTTTTCCAAGTGAGGAAAAAAGAAGATTTTTTTTTTCACTGGCTGTATGAGGGCAGAATCTCTCCATGCAACAAAAACCAGGACACACTTGGAGCAGCTGGCGCGACATGTCACAAAAAACAATAAAACACAAACATAAAGGAGCGGAAATGACTTCTCTATATCGGGAGATACTGTTTGGTTTGTACTGCAGTATGGTTTGGGATCCATTAAAAACATATCTTTGTATAACAGAGGAATCTGGACCATAAAAACATTGAAAGCATTTTCTTAAGCACTAACTTCAAGGTATTTTTAGGGGATTTTAAAAAGCTATGCACTAAAATCCCAATAAACTAGCATGAAAGCATTGGTTGTAACATAGCATTAATGTTAAAAAAAAAGGGTTATGGGTTACAAATCCTTTTCAAGGCACTGTACGTAATAAACTCCAGCAGATAATAAAACTGTTTAGCTTTAAGATCCACTTGAGTCCAATTAGAGATATACTCTACATGTTTCAACAGCTGAGCTGAACTCCAGGTGAAATCTTTATATATTTACATATATTTTTTTTTACATAGAGATATGTAGAGGAGATTATGAAAAATAAAGCCAAAAGCTCTTTATTCTGTGGCGTGGTGTAGAGTGGATTTGACTGCGGCCTGAGGAGAAGTGCAGGCCCGCATCGTTTTCATCACTGAACCCCCCCGTCTCAGCAGTTGCTGAATGAAATGCACACTCGTGCGGTTGAATATCTCGAGTTATTTCCATAAATGCACAAATCAGCAAGAAGTTCCCGCCGCCGAGCCAGAAGGACCACATCAATCTGCATTCTTCCGTTACCTCTGCGACTACAAACCGTGACAAATTCAGACCAGGAATCCGTCCTGTTCGCTCTCAGGAAATCCTTCTGTTTCAAAAAGATCTGAAGGATCACTCTGTGTTAAGCTTTTTGGGGATCGGTTGGATTACTGGTCGCCGGTTTCCAGGTTTCCGACCTCATCGCGAGAAGAAATCCCAAGATAAACAAGCAAGTAAGCTAATCGCTACCTGAGAGTTTTAGCTCTTTCTCAAAGGCTGGGAGTGGAAAAAGATTGACCTCGTTGAGGGATTTAAAGAGTTTTTAAAAAGCCGCTTTTCCACTTGTCTCGTAATTCAAGTCAGTGAGGACAATTACTGACTCTCCGGAACCCATTGTGTCATTCCTGGTAAAGATGGGGTAAAAAAAAAACAACTTTGAAAGCAAATTCACTTTTCATAGCAGTGGCAAAATCTTAAATTAAATTGAGAAAAATTCACCCATTTATTTAATAAAGTAACAACAAAAATGCATGTAAGGAGAAAACCATCACTGTTGATATAACTACAATCTGCTATAAAATAAATAAAAATGTTATTATATACTTTATATCCTGACCACTGTGCCTGGGAACTTTTAATAAGTAATTCATGACTTCATGCTGCCTCTAAGTATAAACACCATGAACCACAGAGGCTGTGTTGTTTTGCCGCTGGCCTCCATGTACAATAATTATCTCATTACCACACACAGTAATGGAGAAAAACAACAACAACAACAAAAAAACCCTCCAAAGCTTTTTGTTACTAGAACTGCAGCACAGAGTAATCTCCTGGGATTTCTGTAGCAACCATGAGACAGAAAAAAACATTTCTATCCGACCATCACAAACATAAACATGTGCTTACTAATCTGTGTCGAGTTTTTAATGGGTAAAAATTGAGCTTCTCTGCTTTAAATAATCTGCCATAGACAAAGCAGAGACCTGGGGCACGGTGGAGGAGCTGTGATGCTTTGGGGGAACCAGGTGGATTCTGGGTAGAAAATTGACTGAACATTGGTTCATTCTAAAGGATAATAATTATATGATTATTATGAAACATATGAAAGGCCCTTGTACCAAGTACTGGCATCGTAGCCGTCTATAACTTGTTTGCTTTGTGAAAGGAAAGGATAAACTATTATTTCTCCACAATAAATGCAACTCAAATTACATTCTCAACATAAAATTATGGCATTGAAATAAAAGTTGCATTTATTTTAAGGCTTCTTCCACATGTTTTTTTTTTTACTAACAGGTTCTCTACTTAGTTCTTCCTTTTTTCACAAATCTATAACCCAATTTGATATGAACTCATTAGATGGGGGGATATCAGGGGTCTCTGTTTTATCTTTTATTTGAACGCTAGAGTCCTTCATCGCGCCGTAATGTGAGCTGCCTGGTCTTTAAGAGGCAAATGAGTTAAACAGATGGAAAGCGAGTCCCAACACTGAGTTGAACACAAAGTCACTTTATTATTAAGCTAAGGGAGCCTCTGATTGCGGGGAGCTTATATATATATATATATATATATATATATATATATATATATATATATATATATATATATATATATATATATATATATATATATATATATATATATATATATATATATATATATATTTTTTAAAGCTGAGTCAACAGAAGACTGTTGCTGGTAAGGTTGACAGTGATGCGGCGGTGACTGACAGACTCCGGCTGCAGGAGACTCCGCTCTGACCGCACATCAAAAATCCAAATTGGAAATCAACCTTCAGGATGAAGAAGAAGAAGAAAAGCCCCGGGGATCTTGGAAATACACCCCACTTCACCGGTGCCAGAAATATGAAGGCTGTGTGGAATGAAGTCACATGTCACACATTAAGCTTCCTCCAAATTAACCAGACGCTGATTACTTGAACTCACAGGGTGGGTTGGATTGGTGTGTGTAGTGGGTTTTTTTTTTGGGTGGAGTGGGGGTCGGGGGGTAAGTGGTTCACCTCTGGCTGCTTTTCCAGATGAGGCACAGATCAGCTCGTTCCGCCTCTGCAGTCTCTGCTTTCATATTTCTGTCCGTCTGCCTCCGGTTGAGAAATCCTCCTGTGTGCTTGTGGCTCATTCTTAAAATTACAGCTATCAGCGTGATTCATCCATCCATTATCTTCTCAGCAAGTGGACGCGTGTCCTTTTAGATACTAATCACCGTCAGTGTCTCTGACCTTATGGAATGGAGAGGAAAAAAACTTTATGTCTTTCTTCCTGTTTAAATCAAAACTGCAGAGACATTGAATTTACACTGAAGAAAATAAGTTTCATTAGAAATCTATAAAATGAATGAGAAAATACTGTAAGGATTTTTGTTGTTGTTCTGGCCGCTTGGATTATTTGATTGCGTCTGTTTCTGGAAAGCGTGCGTTTGAGACCCACTCTGTCCTAGTTAAAGGAAATCCTTCACACGAAACTACGAGCGACTGGATTCGGAGCTTTTTTTGGGGGGCGTTTCACCAGGTGGTTCACCTCGCTGACGACCTTCCCCCAAAATGCACCGGCACCTCTCATGACACAAACACTCGATCTGTCCCTGACTTGGTGGTGCCTTGTGTGGACCATTTGGTTTAGCCGAGGTGTTCCTTTAGTAACAGTCTCTTCTTCTCGGTGGGTACGTCGGCACACGCGATCGTCGGCGGTCATGCAGTGAAGGTCTGTCGGGACTCGGACTGCGCCACAAACCCTTCTCCCTACCCGAGTCTCGTCAGCTCAGAGTCCTCTTTGCTGCAGCCGAGAGCGCCGGCCTCCCGGGGGGACTGGACTTTTCCGATTTCTTCAAGGGCGCTGGCCAGAGAGTCCAGGTCCCCGGGGTCCTGGTGCTGCGCTTCCCACAGGCTCAGAATCACCGACGACGGGCTTTCCTGGCATGCAAAGTAGCCCAGGTTCCTGCAGGTTGGAGAAATGGATGCATTTTAAAAGCAGACCAAGAAAATGATGTGATTAAACAGATTAACAGTCAAATAAACGCACAGAGGTTCGGTGATATTTGGGAATTTTTTGTTTTTTCTTGTATGTGTCTGAGGGACATCTTAGTGAATACTTATTGTGTGAATGAATGGATCTGATTTAAAATTGTCATAATTTCAGCCTTTCAGCTCCACCTTGACAGTGTTTATTACTCATTCCTCTCACCTGCACTGTGCTTCTCCCTATTTAAACAGCTGCTCATCACCAGCTCAGCACGACATCATCTGTTGCCCCAGTCACAGATTTCAAGCCTTGTTTCATGTTTCAAAGTGTTTTCTAGTTTTCTGATCCTGCCTGGTTTTTGGCCACAGACTTTGCCTCATCCTTCTGCTGCTATAAAAAGACAATCGGAAACGATTGACGAATCAAATCGACCGATGCACGTATGACGCATTCACATCTTGGTGTTCAGTTTGACGCCAACTTACTGCAACGTCAATCAAACGCAGACGAGTAATTGCTCAAAGTTCAACGTTTTACATCTAAGAACTATTCTGCAACAAGTGTTAAGAAATCTCGGTAACACTTTAATTGACGGGATGTACATGAGGAAGTCTTTATGAAGGTTTACTGTTATGAAATGTCAGTTGGTAAATAATGACACTTTTAATGAAAATTGCCTTAAAAGTTGCATTAAAAGAGAATTAAAAGTGATACATTTGCTTTAAAGTGCCTTTTATTTTCTTACTGAAAAATGCAAAGATGATTCTTTTAATTGACTTTTAAAGAGACTTCAAGTAAAGGTTACCGAGATGTCTGCGCATTTCCGTTTCTCCTTTAGATTTAGTTTGAGTGGCTTGATAAGAACTTATATCCGAGGTGATTTGGAGAGTGCTGATCCTTCTTATCTTCACATTTTGTTCTTCACAGAGGATTTGTCCATCTTGGAGACATTTTTACTTATCACCTTTTCTGACAAGGTGGCAGCCGTTAAGTCGTTTTATATATGGAATATATAAATATGCTTCTTGTCTCATCTCCTTATTGCTTTGTAATATATTCATCACAAGCCAGTCAAAACTCTAAAACGGATCGAGTCTCAGAGGTGTTGTGGAACGTGTTTCGTTTAAAGGAATGCAGTTTCATCTAACACGTGGCAGATTGGTGCGCTGCGCATCAACAAGTGTTTTCCCTCTGAAATGTAAGCAATAAATCAGCCTTTATGGCATGGCACCTTGAAACAGCATTCACACTCTTTGTCGCGCTTACGAATAAAAGCTTTCGGATGCATTTTGTTGGGGTTTTATGGGAAAGAATAGCATAAAGTCGTGCATGATAGGGACATGGAAGGAAAATGTCACAAGTTTCAAAGTTTTATAGAAGTTGAATTTTGTCGATGTTGGTACTTCATCACACTTATAGACATAAAAGGTTCTAATTTAAGATAAGCACATAAGATGTCTTAAAATGTGAAGGACTTTCTTCCTTCCCTTATCCAGCAGCTACTTAGACTATTCCAATGGATGACAGTTCATTCTGCAAGACAGACTTTACCTTCATTACTCTTACAACATCTCTCCACCAGAGGGCACTGTTTCATCGCAGTGACGTTTCAACTTGCTGCCTGTCTCCTCTTTTGCTCTCTTTTCCTCTTCCTCATATCATTATATCCCCACACACTCACAGAAATAATTACAGAAATCAGCTTAAGTAGGTAGAGACATTCTTATTACATGCTTCTCGGCGTGTTTGACTATGCCGTAAAAAAACCAACTATGAAATCTGTTCCCATTTCTCAGATGTTTGTTTTCAGACCCGTTTAGGCAAAGCTCCCCTAATTGTGCAGTTGGCGCATAGTTTCCCAGTTAACTTTTCTTTATTTTATTTCAGTTTTTATTTCCCCCCCTCGTCTTGCGTTCCTCTAGCCCGGAGAGAAACGAAGGCGGTCGCGAGCCAACCGCAAAGATCTGAGAGCGGTCGTGGAAATAAGCACTTGATTATTGACTTCTCCTCTGAAGCACAAGCGTAGATCAGCGCCTCTCCAAATAAATAAAATCCTCCCACGCCCACACAAACACTGACCTGACACGAGCTCCTGAGTGTTCAGCAGGGGTGGGGGAAGGAAGACGCTGCTGCTGCTGCTAATGAGAGGCGCTAACACGAACACATTTTATCACCAGAGGGATGGGCTGTCAGCAGTCAGGGACCTTTCCTCAGATTTCTGCAAGGCACCACATCCGCTTTGCAGCCACTGTATGTTAAACTGTGCTAAAGTCAACCCCAACGCCTCCCTGCCTCCCTGCCTTCTCGCCTCCTATATGCATGTTTCAGATCTATAATGAAATCAGCAGAGTGGTGTGCAAGTGAAGGCTGGTAGGCGATGAAAGATAAAGCCTGACACTGGCTTAATTCCTGCCTAAACGCGCAATTCAGCAGGAGAGCTGTGTGTTTGCACCGGCGAAGGAGGCATGAGACACGCTGTGCTTCAAAACAAAAGCTTCATTGCATGAAGTGCCAATGGAGTCGGCGTGGAACGCGAAGGCTTTCATTCAGACCTGTCTATGTGGAGCTTCTGAGCCAGCAGCTGCCAGTCCTTCCCGTTGGCGTTGGCCGTGTCAAAGGTGGCGCTGATCCGCTGACGGATGGACGGGGGGATTTTGAAGGCCTTTGACCCTGTCTGAGAGGTGATGGTGCAGTCGGACTGCGTGAAAAAGGGAACCGCTCCTTTTTCGTTCTGGGAGGAAAGAGAGAAGACGGAGGACAAAGAGTCACCGAGAAATGAAAAGCTCATTCAGCGAAGCTCTTGAATCAAATCAAGAAGTAAAGCGTAGCGTCTGCTGACACATCGCCATCAATGTACACCGTTTGGTATTTACCCTCTTACAGGTTTGATCGTTCAATTGAACGCCGAGATCATCAACCATATTTTGATGTCAGACTAAGACTTTGTTCTCATAGCAGGCGAATGCGACTCAGTTTTTATTTTGCGTGCACGCATCTCTCTCACTCCAGTCTGAACATTCCAAAACTCAATCTGTGCCACTTCCACATATGGTACTAATTTGGATACTTATGCAACATTTTCCAAAGAGTCTGCAGTCTCAGCTGTTATGTCTCATTTTATCCGGCTTTCATGTCGCCGAAGTGAGACGAGAAGAAACCAGACGCGGTGAATGTGGATGTAAACAAAAGTCGTGTTTTCGTTTCATCTGCTTGCTGCGGGTTGCTCTGATTTTGTAACAGTGCTGTCAGTTTTCATTGCTGAACAAACTGCAAAACTTCCCCCGTTATTATCATTTCCTCAAACTGCTGAGTGATGTCGACGTTCTTCTGCGCGCGAGGGTTGCTGTGTGGTCATAAACCATTCACACAAAAGTCTGATTTGAATATTAGTATGAACGGCCAGGCAAAATAATAAGTTAAATATTTATTTCAGAAGTAAAATGGAAATCGAGCGTCATGCCCTGCTGTGTGGACGTAACCAAAGATAAACTTAGTATTCAAATCATGCTAACCAGGGTTTATGTGAATTTGTTGCCCCACTTGATAAATCCTGAATTATCTGTGATCAACCACATATTTCAAACTGGGAGCACTGGGAGAAGGCAGCACAGCTCGATTTTACGCTGTCCTGACAGAGAGAGATTTTTTTTTAACAAATATGTCAAAAACATATATTTAAACATGTATTTCTTTTAAAGCTATTTCAGCTATACTGCAGCTATAAATAAGACCGAGGATCTGTGCGATCACCTTGAACAAGCTGTTCATGCTAAATAACGTTCTGCAGTGTGTTAATGTTTGGTGGGTGCGATTACTTTCACCCACAGAACCACGCCGGCTTAGAAAACAGCAATTTGCATTCTCGGCTTGATATTGAAATTAACTTGATGAACTGAAACATGCAAGTGACAAAAAAAAATCGCCCCAAACAACCAATCAGTAATACTTCCAGATACAGCGCCGCGTGAGTGCGCCTCACCTCCACGACTGACGTGTAGATCTGGAGTATCTGCTCCTCTCCTGTGACCTGCCGCACGCTGATCTTGCAGGACAGCTGAGAGGAGGAGAGGCTGTAGCGCTCCAGAGAGAAGGCACACTGCAGGGGACACCGGTTACTGGCCCACACCTGAGAAAAGGAGAACTCCTGCGGAGCAGGGAGAGACGGAGGGCGGGACAGGATAACGGGATCGGTCGTTGAATTCGAGTTGGGTCTGTTGTTTCTGAATTCTCTGCTGTTCTGCAGGTTTGATTAAAAGTGAGCGAGTGACCTTGTCAGCCAATCAGTGACGTTCACGAATCAAGAAGCTTCACCCATCAGAAGGAAAAGCGGTAATTGTAAAGTATTTTGTAAAGTAACAAGAGGAAATACAATAATTTCAGAAATGTCAGGTGTTTTGTGGAGATTTTGAATCAATTAATGTTCTGTTTTTTACTCTAAATGTTTTCTGTCTACAAAAGCAACAAACGACAGCATGTACCTCAAAGTACATGCTGCTGTTGAAACTGAGAATTAGAGTAATACGTTGGATTAAACGCTGCTACCTCTATCAGGGACCCCACTGCCCTTTTTTCCTCTCTTTTATATTAGATTCTTAGAATTAACATTCTGCAATTGGTCAAAACTGAAATAGACAAGCCAGACCTAAAGGACAAACATGATTCAGCATTTTTCAGAAACAAATGGCAGTGAATGAAACGGTGGCGAGTCAAACTAGCTTTTTCGTAGAGCACGCGTTGTCGCAATTCCACTTTTCCCCACTTGTTCTGAATCTACATATGTGAAAGGTAAGAGAGTGAAGAAGGTAAGAAGGTAAGAACCTATTTGCTCGTCGCCATTTCCTGACTTGTGAGGACAAACATGCATGACGACTTGAGAGGCTGATTCTGTCTGCGGATGGGTTTAAGCTGCGGGAGCGCAGGATGCTCATGGATTACCAATAAAACATTCCCAAACACACTGAAAAAAACTTTGAAAAGCACAAATACAAGAACATCTTTATCTGAATGGTCCTGTGGAGTACCTGAGATTTTGTAGAGAAGTTATTACATCCCTCTTAAACAAATTGCAGGTTCCATCTTACCAAAGGTTTACAGTGCAGCTGCAATTACACATTAATTTAGTTCACCGGGGTGCTGGGGGCAAGTGCTAAAGGTGATCTTTTACTTTACACAGTGGCGTTCTCACGTGCAAAAACATATTAATAGAATAAAACACATTTATCATCTTAAAAAGGCAGGATTTTATGAATTTCCCTAGGCGCTATTACATCCTACGACTGTTTATGCAGGAAAAAACTGACCAGTTTGGAAAAATAAGAAGTAATACTGATGGCTGAACTTTAGTTTGGAGAACATTTGATTCAGAGCGTACCACTTGGGTAAGAAAGAAAAAATGTCCCGTTTTTGTTCTTGTTCTATTTCTATACATCTTGCTTAAAAAAAAAAAAAAAGCTTACCACAAATCAGAGCTAGTTCATTTGAGCTTTAACCTCAAGATTATATATATATATATATATATATATATATATATATATATATATATATATATATATATATATAGGATGTATTTATATATATATATATATATATATATATATATATATATATATATATATATATATATAGATATATATATATATATATATATATTTGAGGATGTATTGTCTTATTCTTCTCTCCTCCACAGTCTTGATGCTAAGCTTGTGTCTTAATGCCTATCTTTAGATGGGGATCAATGTCGTGATTATAGAATTAGGGCAAAAGATCCCTTAATGCTCGCAGTTTGCTCTGCATTTCCACTTCAAATGTAGTAAGCTTTAGAAAGCAAAGCTACATCTGCTGAGCGTATGCAACCTGAAGCACGCTGTCGCCGTTTCCGCTGCCTCTACTTCGCTGCCGCGTGACCCAGACTCTGCTGCAGCCGGAACGGGTCAAAACGCCGTTGTGCGGATGAATCATCCGCTCTTCAGACCCATCAGAAAAGGACAGCCACTTACAGCTGCCTGCTTTAGGTGGCAGTCATGTCTGAATTAGAGCCTGAAGGCGTCTTCCTGGTCTAATCTTCGGGTTTCCTTGTTGGTATTCTGGAGGTGATAATTCTGCTAATAAGATGTCGCTGGTGGGATAAACATCACAGGGCAGAACAGAACATGCAGCATGAAGACCCCTGGGAAGTTAACTATGATATATCTGAGTGAGTGTGTGTGTGTGTTTTCCTGCCTGATAGTCATAATTAAGTTTGTAATGCTGTGTGTGTGGGTGAGATAGCTAGCCTCCTACTGTGCCCTTGCTGCTGCCCTTTAGCTTTGATGTGACCAAGAAAGCAAAAGGCGTGTGATGGAAGAGTGAGGCTGCCGAAGAGAACCGGGGCAAACGCCTTTTTTTCCTGGACATGGTCGTCACGGAGCTGCGTGCGGTTTTGACTTTAACGCCAATAAACTCACTGTAAACACCCCTCGCCGCTTTACACAACAGTAAAAGGGGGGAGATAGTCCAACCTGGCAGGTGGTGAAAGGCTTGATGCTCCAGAGTAACCGCGGGACGTCCTGGATGGACACCTGGAGGCTGAACGTGTTCCCCTTAAACAGCAGAATTTTGGGTTCTTCGAGGAGCCGTCCTCCCCTGCTGCGCTCCCCCACCACCACCTCCTGAGAGGAAAAGAGACGGTTGAATGAGCTTTTTTTGTTGTTGTTTTTGTCTTTGGCTGAGAAGGAAAACAACTGTTTTCCTTACAAAAGAATTGATTTTGCTTCATTTTTTAACATCACAGCTGCAAAAATTGAAGGGGCAGTATTATGCATTTTCCAGGCATATAGTAGCATAATCAACTAATGTTGACTTCAGTCATTTTAAAAAATGCCATATATATATGTCAAATATCACTTTAAATAAATTTGACTTCCTAACTTAGCGCCTTGAAATTGGGTCTCTGTCTCTTTAAGAAACTCCTTTAGTTTCTAAAACTTCGCCTTCAGGAAGTCATCTGTTAACCCTTCACAACGCTTTTACACTGAGAAGCAGCTTGTATAGTGAGCTCAGCAAATGTTTGCTAATTGGTTCTGGCTAGTCTGAAGGAGCAGAATGAGGGAAGCTTGGAAGATTCAGTTAAGAGGAAGAGCTTTGTCCTTGAAGGCTGTGCACCCCCCTGCAATTTAGCTGTGCGTTTGGTTGCCAGAGGAGATTAAAAAATTTCCCAAACATGCACGAAAAAAAAAACTAAAGCAACACTCCATCGTTTTTGACGAGGGAATAAAACGGTAACATGACGGAAAGCTCAAAAAAGTCGATTTTGCATTTAATGTGTATTTTCTCTTTATTTAGGATTTCATGTGAAAGAACACAAAGTTGTGGATATTTGTCAAGCAGAAGCAAATCAAAGTTTAAAATTTTTTTCATCTATAAACCGTGACACCTGCTGCTATTTCGCCTCTTTTGTTCTGAAACCCATTAATAAAATGTAGCGCTGTGAACTCATCTGAAGTCACCCGACTGGTTGCAAGTGGAATTGTTTATAACACATGAGTCCAGCTGACCTGTGAACCTGTTGGAGGTTTTTTAGGAGAAAATTTTTTGAAGAGATGTTGGTGGTTGATCGATATCCTAAGCTTTTGCACAAAAAATATGTTTTTCAATCTTTTCACAGAAAAAAAAAAAAAAAAAAAAACTTTCTTGAAAAATTTCACAGAAAAACAAATTCCTGAAATTTTTTTCCGGCAATTTTACAGCGAAAAGATTTGACAGGCGTTACAGTGCTTTCACACTGCGAAGACTTGGACAAACTGTGCAGGTTTTATATGTAGATGCATTTTCTGTCTTCAACCTCAACGGAAGATGTGTCAACGACAAAATTTGTTGTTTTATTTGCAAGGCGATCTTCCTCTAGCTGTGTTCGGCTTCTTAGATCGTCACCCAAGTTTTTTCCAGTTTTCATTTCTGACAGTAATGCAAAGTCTAGACTTGGTCAAAATGAGCGAGTGGAGAAATTCTCTGTTTTCTGTGATGCAGCTACCTCCTGATTGTCTCACAGACAAAAAAACAACAACAAAAAACAAACCCAAAACATTTCTTTTACAGACGAAAAGATTTCTCATAGAAAAATAAAACTATTATTCTGAGCAGAACAGATGAATGTTGCATGACCTTACTGCAGAACACAATTAAGATGGCTCTGTGAAAACCAGATAAAAAATTTAAAAGAAGTTGTCAAATAATAAAAGAGAAACATGATTAAAACAAGCGATGTTTGCTTGAATTTTTTATGATGGGCTGGAAAACAAAAGTGCATAAAACACCAAGGAGAGAAAATGAGTGTGAGAAAGCGCTTCGATCAATTTGTACTAGAAAATGTAGTTTTGATGGTCTTACTATATAAAAAAAAAAGACATAAAATTATATTTAAAAAAAGTGAAAAATGTCAATAGTAAGCCTTGCATGATTTCAAACGTCTGCGTAAAGTAAGCAATCAGTATCTCTGTAGGCAGAGCGGCATAAGGAGCACAATACTTCACTTAATTTCTAAGAATTAAAGAGAGAAATGCTAAGAAACTGTATGCATTTTACCATTGTAGCATTTTCCTTTGAGTGGAAAGCAGCCCTCAATAAATCGTTGGTGCTTGCCCTCTGTCTCCAGACAAAATAGCTGCAGTGAAAAAAAGGTCTACTGCATGAAAAATTAGCCAAATGCCAGCTTCAAGGCAGGTGGACAAAACAACAACAAAAAAAAAACTGAAGGACTTTGTCTATAAAAGAGAAAAACAAAGGTTCTTTTCCTGGCAGACAAGCAAAAAACCAAAACCAAAAACAAACCAAAAAAACAAAAGACAGAGCGGTTGACAGTGATTAAAAGCTTCCCAGGGTGACAACCGAAAGAGGACACAATAATCTGACGGAGAACAAAGTAGGCCACACCGAGAGGAGAACAATGGACAAAAACCGCATCGAAAGGGAAAATTACCTCAAATAAAGCACAGATCAAGCATTCATGCCTCTTTTTATTCGTTCTGTGGGCCATGTTGTGGTTCCTCAACAGGTATAAAGATCCAGAAATGATCTGATTATGTAAACATGATCTGCCGCTATAACAGCTGTTGTTTACAGTAAATGAAGGATATAGTCCATGTTAAACGATAAAGAAGACAAACAATACTGCAGGGTGTTTGTAACATTCGACACGCATTAGTCATGTTGACTAACTATTATGATAAAACAAGTACATACAGTATAACAATGTATTTTTTTCACTGCTATATGTCTATGGGTAAGTGGTCATTGAGTCCCTTTAATGTTTCATACCTTTGCAGTTTTAGGGTTTTTTGGTGTTTGGCATTTTTATGCATGAAGTTGAGCTTACAGCAGCACCTACTCATCAATTTGTATCCGACCAAAAGTTATTTTCTATAATCTATTCATAATACACTGGAAAGAAAATACATATGACTCCAGTAGTTAGTATCTGTCAGGAGGAGATTATGCAGTTATTTTGTTTGGATCAGCACAGTTGTAACGTTGATCAACAATACTTTAAAGCTTTCTGACGCGTTCACTTTTAACTCTTGTAAAAAATAATAAAGAAAGAAAGATAAAAGAAAAGAAATGGCTCACATCCCACCTTGACGGTAAGCGCCATCGCTAAGCTAACAAGCCCAAGCAACCGTGAAGCGACGACGTCAGAATTTGGACCTGAACTCAGCTCAGTTCAACCAACTGGATGTTGCCTAAGATTGATGAGGTCCAACCAGCAGTGGAGAAACAGGGCCGTCATTAATCTTCCCGTAAGTTGCCTGCACAAGACACCAGGCGGTGACTCGGGGATCTCAGGGATGCATTCTTCAAACTCCCAGACGCTATCTGCTCCGGTCATTGGCTTGAAACGCGAGGTGTCAAACCCCAGCCCTCCAGACTTTCAGATTGCGTCTCTGAAATGATTTAAAAGGAATACTGAGGAGGTCATTTAGCCGTTCGACTCAAGTGTGTTGGACCCCCGGGACACATCTAAAAGTTTCCCCGACACCGACGCTCGACACCGACTGGCTCTGTCTTTGGGTGGGACTGTTTGGACTGCCGGGGGTAATGCCACGGCTGAAACCGGGTGAGGGAGCTTCTCCACCACTAACAGACCCAGGATCTCATCATCATCATCATCAAGGAGGCTCTGAGTGACGCTGATCAGCGGGGATGGTTGTAATTCCAAAGTCCTGAATCACAAGGACAAGATCCAGAAGGTACTAATGGAGCTCGGCTATCAAGGTCGTCTTGACTTTTTGTTGGGCCGGTTTCTGCATCAACGTTAGCTGTCCACAAAATGAAATTCAAGACTTCTAGACTACTATCTGCATACTTTCTCTTTTTTAATTCAATTGAAAGTGTTTCTATTATTCATTTTTTGGCTTATAAAACAGAGTCTATCATGACCTGACATAAAAAAAAGACACAACTAATTGACAGAACCTCTCTTTGCACTTCTTTCATTCATGGTTCCACTTATTAGCTGTAGTTTTCTTTTCTTTTCTCTACTTCGAAGCAGTTTCCATGGCACGACATCTGAGACGAAGATTCATTCTGGTTGCATATGAATAGTTAACGGCTGCTGATTTTAACACACAGCAGCTTCTGTAACGGCTTTAGGCTACATCTCAAGGAAATCGTAGAAAACTTTCTGAGATTAATTGGCGTGAGAAACTGTGTTATCGGCTTTACGGTTTTCACAAGATGTCAACATTCTTATTGTGCGGTAATTAAAATTCAGAAGCATAACACAGACTAACCAAGAATAGAAAAAGTGGGACTTTCATCTGCTTCCATTCACTTACACGATGTCTGAGGAAAACAATGCAATTAGCACACTGAAATGACTTGCTACATATGTGTTGTTGGAAACAAGCACAATGAAAATGGAAAAATATATATTTTATACTTTTAATACTTCACTTCACTTCTACAGACTAAGAAGTGTTTCAATGAAAGTTCTTCTCGGATAGAAACCTCCCTCGAAAAAGCAGAAAACAACCAAAAAATCTGCACCTCTCTTTTTGACCGTCGACATACTTTTTAGGGATGCTGGATGTGTGCAATTGTGTAGTGTACTTTGCAGATAATTCTGGGGGCGAATAAAAAAAGAGCACAATACCAAGTGTGCCGGCTGCCTATCGATTTTCAAGCTCGCTGGGGAAATTATTGCATGAAGCACAAAAGAAAACAAAAGCAAGTAAGGAAAACAGAAAAAAACCCAAACAAACAAAGAGCCCAAATAGCCACGTGTCACTGATGGAGAAGTGGAGTGAGTTGACTCTTGGCACCCACATGCAATTTCTCGTTGAGTACTTGCAATTTTGTCTTTCAAATGAAGCCAGTGCCGATGCAGAACAAGTGGGCAGCGAGAGGCAACTAACGGGCCCGTTTCAGAAAACCTCTCGTTTTGTTTGCTCGGCTCAGATGGTACAATGGCTGCTGCGAAATCTCTCTCTGACCGAAAAGAGCAGTTTCAAAGAAAGAAAGCAAAAAAAGGAAAAAAAAAAAAAAAGCACTTTGTGTTCTTTGTGCGGTGGAAGGATGGGAGCCGCGTTCCCCACATGGCTCCACACTCGAGAATGCGGCGATGAACCCCTGCTCCGTGTCGCGCCGCGCCTCATTTTAACGTGTTCAAGTGCTTTACAGATGAAATGTGTCGCAGAAACACATTTAATTAACAGACAGCAAATTAAACCGTGCAAATAAAGGGCAGGGAAGCAACCCCGGAGCATCTGTTGTCTTTGTAATTAAAAGTCCTTCTTTGTCTCCTCGTCATCAAGCGTCTCCCAGTGGCAATGTTACTTAACGAGTGGATCTTCAGTGGAGCGCTGCACAGGCTGCAGTTCTTCCGCACGCAACACTGCCGGAGCCTTAAATCATCTGATAAACTTGCATGTTACACAAGAAATCTTCCGGGAGCCGTTGCTTTTAGCCTTACCACTAATGCGCTTTAAGAGCCACAGCGAGCAGTTAATTATTGTGTCTGAAAATATTCAGTACTGCATGGATCTTCATGGGTATGTGAAATCAGAGCGCCCTCTAGCACAGCCATGATGTTCAAATTCGTAACTTTTATAGGGAATTCTTTATTATTTACATAAAGCACTGAAATAACATTGTGTCAAGATTCATTTTTTATAACTTAGACCTTTTCTTGCCTCTGCTCAGTTAGTTCAGTAAAGCACAGCATCATGGCTACGCTTTAAAAAAGTTTTCCTTTTTTTTTTTCCAAAAATCTTAGCACCTCGTTTGATTGCTGGAGTTGTTACTTTGTCCCACGATCTCAGACAAAGTAAGTGAATTTAATAATTTTTTGTTTGACAGACCTGCTAGCTCATCGTGAGACAGTCTTTGGTGCGAGGCTCCGTTTTTTTTTTTTTTTCTTCAGCCAGCTTTGTTGGCTTTATTTGGCACAGACTGTTTTACACGTTCAGTTTGTCTTCCTTTTCTCGATAAAGACATCTGCTTTTCATTTGGAGAATTCTTTCCTCAGGATGAAAAACGTCTCAATTCGTCTTATTTCTTGTAAGACTGCCATCCCATTTACAAGCAACAAGCTATTTTTGTCAAGATATGATGTGTCGTTCTGTTCCTTGTGCTCCTGCAAAACACAGTTACATATCTCCTTATATTATTCCAGTAATGTAATAATATGGGCTGCCTTAGCCAAATAATGCTTTAGCATTACCTCCCTACAAGTCTAATGCTGCAGTAGAGGCCGTCTGATCACCAGCTAAGTCGGATTTGGATTTTAAATAACTCAAATAATGGGAACGTTGGATATAGAAGAAAATGAGAGAAGCATCCCTCAAAAGTTGACAAAAAAAAAAAAAAAAAAAAAAAAAAAACAACCCCCCAAAAGAACTATGAAAGTTGTAGCCATTTTGGACAAAAATGCTTTTTTGATTAAAAAAGTGTCAGGTTGAAATGCATTCGGCATAAAGAAGTTATTGATTCCGAAATTAATGAAAAAAACTTCGGCGAGGGATCTTAGCGACCCGAGTCGTTTCCAAACTGTTCGGGTTTGAATTTAAATTGAGTGATGAGCTCCAAGCTTTCTGGGTCAAAGCCCTTGACCCTAATTTATACCTACTTCCACAAATTCTATCTATTTAATGAAGATCTGTCAGATAAAAGCCTGGACTGTGGTGGAGTTACTACAAAATGTTAATGTAACTTCCTATCATTAACTGATACATAAAAAAAATACTTCAAATGATGTAAATCTACTAAGAGTATGAATAATTACATACACTGTATACATATGAAACTCATGCAAAAGTTATGCAAGAATTGTTTAAATGACTCAGTAATGACTCAATGTTTAATATCACATTACTTTATGCAGGCGCTCAGTCTCCACTGACAAGGAATTTACTCATTTTTGAAAGCTTAAACCTTGAAGTGGCTCCAACAAACAATATTGTGATCTACTTTCTGATTAATTCACTGACCAATAAGGAGCGCTCATTTGTGTATAAAGCTCTGACATTTCATCCGGGAATAAATAAGTTGAGGGAAAAAACTAATAATAACATGAAGGTGAAACAACGAAAGCCTTTCCTAATGATTCAACTCAGTCACTATTCAAAGATGCATCAAAGTAACACACATGTTCCACAGAGGTGAAATAATTTTTCACAAAATTCACTTTTTAGATTTATTCCAGTTCACAAAAAGGAAAAACACACAACTGCCATCTGATTGTCATTCATACATATTTCTGTCTTTGCAGGATCCTGGTGTTTGACTCCATTTTCTTTCTGACAACTAAAGCAGGAAAAGATGGTAATGAGATCAGCTTTACGAGACTGTCAGGTTTCATGAGAACAGAGACAGTCAGAAGTATGTTGATGGACGTGAATGAGCTGCCCAAGGCCAAAAGGAAAATGTTTGGTGATAATTGGTGTGGAACAAATTCATGTGGATGTGTAAAGCTTAGTTTATTTATATTTACGTGGCGACACATGTAAGCCAATTATTTCTGTTTTAACCTGAAACCCTAAGCATGAAGTAAAAGATAAAAGAACACAACTATAGATAGCTTCCACGCTAATACCAATGAATTTTTGCAAAAATCATGCAAGATATGAAAATAAGTTTCTCCATTCTTCACATATAGATTTTCCGAAATCAGTATGGGATTTTAAAAAAAGAACTTCCATATGTTATATTTCTTTCTTGATACCTGAAAGGCGTAGGGAGTGTCGTCCACACAGTACACCCTGAGGGTGAAGCCCAGCGAGTTGCTTTGGTCTGGACTGCCAAAGACGGCCAGCCGCAGTCGCTTGGCAGCCTCCTGGTTCAGCGCCTCCCCCACCAGCGTGTAACGACCCGGCTGCTCCAGCAGCACATGGCACGTCTGGGCCTCCAGCAGACAGTAGCAGGACGTGCTCTCCTCGTCCACTGACATCACTTCCTTTGGTGGGAGAGAGAAATAAGATAAGTGCTAGGAATAGCAGCAGCAGAGCAGCTACATCTGCTCAATAAAAACTCAAGGCTTTTATTGAGTGAAATTTAACAGGGAGAATGTTTTTGCAAGTCATTTGATTACTTTAGCAAACTGACTTACCTTTGACTTTTTTTATCCACATTTTGTAACTTTCCTAAGTATTTTCCAGCTGCATAGTGCCATTTTAGAGCACAATCAAATAACTATCTTACTTATCTAGGTACGATGGGTAAGATAGGTGCTCAGTTTATCAAAGATGACTTAAATTAAACAATTTCCTAATTTATCGCCTTGAAATTGGGCCTCTGTCTCTTTAAGAAACTCTCGCACTTTCTGAAACTCCGCCTTCATGAAGTCATAACAATGTTGCTCCTCTATCAAGTCTTTAACAACCTTCTGGTCAAGTGAGACATAACTTGAAGTTTTTGGCCTACGTACTCTGAACACATGATCCCTTCAGTGAAACATGGTGGTGACAGCATTATGATGTGGGGATGCTTCTCTGTAGCAGAGGCATGCAAGCTGGCTGGTCAGAGGTGATAGAAAAATGGATGGAGTTTAAAGTTCAGGTTGGCTCAAACATTCAATCTCAAGTAGGACGACGACGATGAACTTACAACCGCAGAGCTACAATGTAAAGGTTTCGATCAACGCACACTCTTATGGTACAGTGACCCAGTCAAAGTTCAGTTCTAAAAACGGCTTGTATCTCGCTGGGAAAGCTGCCTCCATAAATTATTGAGTCAGGTGGGCTGGATGCATTTATTTATTTTTTTGCTAAATCTTTCGAAACCCATATATCACAGTTTCTTTCCAATCGACCGGGTCTAGCAAAACTTGCGCCTTTAGATAAAATTCCAATTTTCTGTTGCACCATGTAAATCCTCTTGCAGGGCATTGTATCAGCTTCAATGTGTGCGTTTTTATTTTCTATTTTTTTGCTCTAAACCATTACAATGTGGAATATGAGCAACATCATTAGCGTAATTTACAGATCATTCCCTGGGAAACCTTCCAGAAAACCTCGGATAAGATGCTGTATGGGAAAAAAAATATATAAAAAGACAGGCAAATGAATAACGACGCATTTCTCTTAACAGATGGGGGAGCTGGTAACACTGACACAACGGATTAGCAGGGGGCAGCTGTTTCCAGTGGCCAATTGCTCCTCATCATGCGCTAAGTTCTCCCTGAATCACCTCCCAACATACCTGCGACCCGCCGACCCCCTCTGCATATGGCCGTGTAAAGAGAAGCCGAGTGATTCTGTAGCCTACAGCTGCTTCAACCCGGGCCCCATTAGCGAAGCGGCGTACATGACGGATATCTATGATATAGCTCATCCCCCCACCAGCGGCGGCAGCTGGGGGAGAAATGATGGAGTCAAACAAGTGTAAAAAAAAAAAAAAAGAGTGGAAGCTTAAATGGGAATGGCGCTTAGAGGCAGACGGGGTGAAAGAGAAAAGTGAGGGCAAAGGAAAGAGAGGGCAGGATGGGAAAGAGACCTTCATCTTTCATTATATCACTAATTTAGAGATTAGGATTTGAGCGAGCACCCTTCCTGAGATAAAAGCCTCATTAATTCTCCATGACAGAGATGGGCCACGGTGCTACATTCGGAAAATACGTTCCCCGTCTTAACCTCCGTCTTCCTATCCGACCCCACCACCCAACCCCCCACCCTTCTACGTCGGCGTATAGCTCCCATCAGCGATGGGTATTTTGATAGCTTCCTCTTTGTGCAACACATCTTGTGGCAAATTACATCTGTGTAAATGTCACGCCGAGTGAAAGGACCAGCTAGGCAAAGTCACAGATCCATCCCAACTCTTCGCCCCTCCACCCCTCCCGCACAGTTCAGGGAGAGCCGGGCTGTGAGGTCACTGTGACCTGATGAGGTCGCCAAAGGCTTTCGATGAGGTTACTTAAACATTAAAAGAGCAGAGAAAACACGGGGAGAAGAATGGTGACTGCGTGGAAGTGGAGACAGGTGTCTGAGTGGTCTTGTGCGACGGGGATAGGCTGCCACTCTGAAGGGCAGAGTTGAAGGACTTTTTTTACGGCTATTATTTTATTAAAAGAGCTGGATGTGAGAAGAAAGTCACTCGGCAATCACCGAAATAACACTCTAATGCATCGAGGGAAGGGAAGTCCTGAATCTTTAAAAAGGTGCACTTCACATTTATTTTTTTTTTTGGTTTTTGCCATCTCGTGGACGGCTTTGAGACAGAGTTGTCCAATTTAGCCTTTTAAGTGTTGCGAATATTTAATTCTGTTAGTTAAATTAAATTTTTTTTAATATTCTGGCAGCTTGGTGAGATACTTTTTCATTAAAACCTAAATCAAAAATAATTCTCCTGTTTTACTGTTTTTATTGTTTTGCACTTATTACTCAAAGATTAAAAACAAATTGTAAAGCACATACATTTATTCAATTTTAAAAAATGAAAATTTGGATCCATAGTAAAACGCTAAACTAGCATTTACTCTAACAAGCCTTTTGGATGTTAAATAGTATAAGAAACAGTTTTAACTGCTTTATTTTTAATTGTACTAGATGTAAAATAACCATCAGCTGAAATATAATGAATGTATTAAATATATTAAATTGTTTCTATTTACATCATGTTATAATGTTATAAGCTGATAACATTATAGCATGTGAACTATTTTTCAGTTCAACACTCCTCATTATGTAATCGGCATAATGAGGAGCATTGTTGTGATGACGTACGGAAGGCAGAGTTTTGGAAAGAACAGAAGTTTCTTAAAGTGACAGAGGCTAATTTCAAGGAATCAAATTGCGGTTTGGTGTCGGTAAATGTAAAATGGAGGTTTTATATCTACCTCATTCTTATGAACAACTGAAGGCAATAAAATAATGGCACAAAGTGCCTGGAAAATACGTAATATTCCCCTTTTAAAAGTTTCATGCGCATACTTTGGCATTCAGTGTTGAGGTTATGGGGGGAAACCCCAACAAGTTTAATTTCAATGGAAGATAGAAAGAGTTCACTCACCTCCCACTTGTCCTGGATTTGTCTCTTTAACCTGATGGTCCAGTTGTCAGCAGTGACTTCTGCACAATGCGCTATCGTCATGGCTACCGGACAGGACAGGTCGAGGCCTGGCGGGCCGTACGTGATGGCAGGACTCAAAAAGATCTCTGCCCCGTCCTCCGGCACAGTGCTGCACACATGTAAAACATAATAGTTTTATGCATTTTCTCAACAAATTTGCTGGGTTTATTCAGTCACTGTGTGCAGTAAATAAGATATTTTAAACAAGAAGAGCCTAAGAAAAGATTTGGAAACAACAATGGAAACCGAGGTATCAGTAAATAAGGCCACAGTTTAATATTTTGTAAAGTTGTGCATGGGCACAGGATAAAGAACAGCATTCAAAGGTTCACAGTAATCCAAATAAGAGGCGATGAAAGCATGAATATCTTTGTCCATCGTCTTTAATTGAGAGATTTGTTTTATCCTGCTCTGTAGTTCTGAAACATTTAAACCACCTATGCCAAATATCACTGTCTTGAACACAGTTCGCCTTTAAGTAATCTGGTAAAAAAAAAAATCCATCAATCGTAGTGGAAAAGTTAAATTAAAGGAAGCATGGCGTTCCCCTGTTGGCGTCTCCACACATAACGAGAAAGAGTAAAGAAACGTGCAACCAGTAAAGTAAGAAAATCTTTTCAGCTTTTATGTTTTAAGATCAAAAGGATCACGGGTGCCAAGGTCTGTTGATCATTCACCGATGTTGGCTTTGAATAGCGCAGAGGCGCCTCTGCAGCTCCAGCATGCGTGTGGACGGTTGCTGTTCCTAGGAGACGCACCTTACAGGCTTTAATTATTAAAGACATGTAAATTATGACAAACTTCTTTTGAGCTAAAATAGTTTTTAATTCAGTTTCAGATCTTATTCGAAATGAAGCCGTCATAAATGATGCCTTTAGGGGGCCAAATGCAATCTCAGCTGGAGCGCTCCTTTTTTTCCCTGTCTTTCATTATATTCATAGAGGACTCTGATTCTGGCTGCTTTTACTCCACAATTAAGCTGGTCAGAGTTGATGGGAAGATAGAAGGAGTTAAATCCAAGAACAAAACCTATTTGGGTTCAAATGACTTGAAACAGGAAGCTAGCAACAGTAAAACATACAGTTGGAGCTACAGCAGAAATGTTGATGGGCTATGGTGACAAAGTCAGAGTCAAAACCTGAAGCCAGTGGAAAATCCGTGGCAAGACGTGAAAATTGATGTTCACAGATAGATGCCCTCCACCCACTGTCACTGAGGTTGAGGTATTTTGTAATACCTCAAAACTTCAGTCTCTAGATGTCCAAAGGTGGCAGAGACTTGCCTTCTCTACCAACAAAGTGTTGACCATTGACCTTATACCCAGTTTCGTAAACTGGGTATCAATTTCCTTCGTTTGGCCGCCAACATTCTCTAACGTAACGTCCCAATAAAATGCATAAAAACGTTTAAGGTTGTAACACGACAAAATGTGAAACACCGTAGTTGAACGCCTTCACAAGGCGCGGCACATCTTTATCTACTGGTCTCTTGTAATTAGGACTCGGAGTGTGAAACTTACACATGAACACCGTAAACTCAAATCCCTGGACAACCATAATGAATCAATCGCTGACTAGCTGACGCGCAGACACACAGATAGAGGAATATTAAAGCACCAAGACTAATGGACAGCGAGGGTGGGGAGGACAGGCTTTAGATCGGAGTGTGTAAGCTTTGTGGGTCGATGGAGCTTATGAAGGCTGCTCCGGCCAGCCTGGTGACAGATTAGCCGGGCCAAGCTGCTCTTGGCCAGGGGCCCAAACTTGGCTGGAAGCCCTAAAGACCGAGAGCAATCGATGGGACCACCATCAGTCATGCAGCTGGCCTGGCTGGATACCTCACGTACGCAGGGCACAACGCTGGTGCTGTTGTCGCTGCAGCAGCGTGGGTGTTTCTCGGCACCATAAATATTACTGTGGCATGAACGGACCCCGACATGAGCACAGAGATGCATCGCAAATGTGGAGTGTGCGTCAAATCATACACCAGCAGGAACAAACGGAAAGTATCATGCTTATAGGTTGTGATTGTACGCTTTTATTCCATCACCTAACGCACATTCAAAGTAATATTGATGCTCAGTAATTATTCTGAAACCACTAGCACTCCATTCTCCATTTGTCTTGCATTTTAAGTTATAGGAAGATGTGTAGCCTTAAGTAATATCGACAACATTTCTGCCTCGCCCTTTTATACAACCAATATTGAACCATACATGTTTCTGAGCTACAGCTCAGTCGGCCTGTCAATGTGTTTTTGGACATAAAGTCACCTTCCTAAAGCAGTCAACTTATTTAAAACACTACTTAATCTCATACTACATTATGCAAAAGCTTTGTCTGTACTATTAAGATTAAATCATCATTGGTTTCCTAATGTTCGAAGTGGCTGCAGCTGACAACAGCCTGCCCTTTTTGATTAATTTAACCAGCAGTTCTTAATGATTGGGGGAACTAATGGAAAGTATATGGAACATTTAACTTTCACTCCAGGAAGGCCATGTTACAATTAAATATGAAACACAGTGAAAAGGAACTGAGACACAAGAAATAAGTAACATAGTCTAAACTGTAAACTACTGATGTCAACACACACAATCTATAACACACGAATGCATCGACATACCTCAATCTTGTGACAGCAGTTGATGTTTTACAAAAAAAACTCCATATTTTTATCTTTGCTTTCACTTAAAATGGTTGTTTACTGACCCGACGCAAGAAGACAAAACATAGGAAACAAGAGGAAAACCTTAAATATGCATGGAGAAATTATGTTGTTTAGAAATGTACATCTCTGTAAAAACTAACAAAAATGACAAGAAAAAAAGATGCAGTGCTTTCAAACCTCAAATAATGCAAAGAAAACGAGTTAATATTCATTTCTAAACAACAATATTAATGTTTTTACTCAGGAGGAGCTCAGAAGTCAATATTTGATGGAACGACCATGAGGCTTTCAGTGCGGTGGTGTCTTCATTTTCCCCAGAGCTGGAAAATGATTGAAAATTAAACGAAAACGATAAAAGAAGCAATGCATTTTCCCTCATATGGACAACGCCTGTTGTCATTTTCAAATTCAAGTGCTTTAATGTAGCACCAAATCTCGTCTCATTTACATTCACCTTCAGCAGCTTTCATCATTCTGTGTCCGTGTGCTCCTGTTTAAAACATGCCATCTGAAAGGAGTTATCAAAACTATTCAACTTTTAACAGATGGAGGAGTTTTGAGCAACTCATTTATTATGTTTTGGAAGATGTGAATCAAAATGACACAGTTCTGCTGGCAGCTCTGCAGTTTTCCAACCCGCAGACTAGATAACATGTTTGCGTTTGGACTCTTTAACCACCGTTATTCTTCTGATTCAGAGTGCTGCGAGAAGCTTTGTTTCTCATTATGCTGTTACCAATCAACAGTGGAAAATGAGAAGAATTGCAGTCCAAATGTAATTTCACACATTCAGTCAGGCGGCACCTTGTCCGTACAGCTGCACTTTTGTGCTAATCAGCCCCCAGCTCGGAGGAAACCAAGGTTACCTGCTGGTGAGACTATGGTAATTAGCACAGTCTGTCTACGAACAAAGATTAAAGATGATTCCTTAGCATCGCTGATTGTGGTTATGGGAACAAAGAGCTATCACTGCAGTCATTGTTGGTTACAATTTCAGTTGCTGATTAAGTACGGTCTCATGTGTGCAGATGAACATCATGCTGCGTTTCTGCATAAAGCTAAACCTCGTAGGATGCAGTTTGTCAGACGTGTTGCTGACAATGCCCTACACGTTATTTATCATGTTCTGAAATAAAGCTACAACGCTTGTGGGCTTATGAATTGGGACCTTAATGAAAGCGAACACTTCTCACAGTCTGTGTTGGACCAGGCGAGTTGTCAATGGAGGCAAATGGGAGGGGAAGAAAAAGAAAGAAAAAAATCCTTCTCCTGCCTCTGTGAGTCTGGATTTAATCCACAGAACAGGATGTGAACAGCTGTGGTGTGACAGCCCTTTCTATCACACAAATAGTCCCCGTGAAAACTGCTGACAGCACTTTATTTTATTACTAACTTGTCAAATGTTAATGCCGAACACGAGTCCGCTGTATGATACTGCTGTGTGTTTTATGCAGGAAACAACAAGTTAATAAAAAAAAAGCGTTACAGACCCAGTGCAGCTTCCATTTGAACCATGAAAAGCTTCAGACTGTTTCATATAAGCAAACAATAATTATTTTTACAGCAATATTTTCTCTTTTAATTGTGCCGTAATGTGAAATGAGCCTTTTAGTGCTTTGGACCACAAATACGACGTCTCACAAAAAGTTTTCATACCAGCTACACTTATTACACTTTGTAGTGGCATAAACCCCAAAATGCAGTGATTGTTTTTTTTTTTTTCATATGGAGTTTATGACAGACCAACAGAAAATGACATAATATTGTAAATTGGAGGGCAAATCATAACTTTTTCTCGATTTCCTTTATGAGTAAACATTTGAAAATGGTGGCATGTGCACAGAGAGGAATGCTGCTGATGTTGGGGGTAACAGTAAACATGCATTTAATTTGACATAAATACATAAACAGACTCTAAATTTTCTAATGAAATACCCATTTATGATGATAAACTTATGATGTAAACAGTGACTTATAGAAAATGCTGAGCAATTATGCTCAGATTTGCACAAACATTGGTATATGTCACAGAAATCTAATAATCTAATGTTTCCCACCTCTGAAGTCTATTCCTGTAAATGCACAATCCATTTACTCAAGTAAGAAGAGCAACAGTCCATTACTATTGGCAAAAGTGAAAGAAAAAGCACAGTGCAGTAACACAACTCTTATACTTCTTTTAACCTCCAAATGATTAAAAATCTTAAATTTAAATAAATTTACAGCTGAAAATATGTGGAGGACAGAGGGCACAGACATAGATTTCTGTATCAAATCGAGATATTAATGACAGAAAGTTGACCATTCCGAGATAAAGTAACTAAATAAGTAAAATGAACAGCCACATCAGCAGGCATGGTGAGTCTGTGAGCGGGTAAAGTCCCCCCATTCTCCCCCCATGCAGCCGGGGCTGCATGTGGTTCTATTCTGCCCTCCTTAATGCAACTATTTCATACAAAAATCTCCTATTTTGTGACGTGGCCATGAAAACCAGTAGAGACAGTCGACTGGCTTTTCTCCATTTCCATTACAAATGTGCACAAAATTCTGTTAATATTTCGCTGAAGTCAAAAGGACAATTTCGCAATTGCGGTGCTTACATTAAAAAATCCCAAATGCAATTAAAATCTCACATTAATAAGCTTTTGTGTGTGTGTATATATATAAATATACATATATATATATATATATATATATATATATATATATATATATATATATATATATATATATATATATATATATATATAGTGGCATGTTTCCATTAAGCCGCTCAGGTGGGAGAATCTAATAATTTTACATCTACGTTGTTTCATCAAAACCAAGGAAGACTGGAGAGAAGCTAGCTATAATTTAAAATCATTAAATACCATTTTTTCACAAGTCATAATAGCCAACACTGGGTGAAAACCTGTTAAAGACAGCAAATAAATAAATAAAAATTGAGACTGGTGAAGGTTCATATTATATAATGCCAAACCTACAATGGAATAGTTTAGCTCAAAGAAAGTCTCTTCTTTTCATCCGCAGTCTGGTTTTTCGGTTGGTCATTTACTTAAAATCCCAGAAAATGACAGTAAAAACTATAGTTGTAATGACTAGAGGCATAATTTAGTCGATAATTTAGTTGCAGTGCCAGATGAAGACAAGCTCATTGAATCTAAACTAGTCAACAGCAGGGATAAGATTTAACAACAATGTCTCTGATTTAACTTCTGCTTGAACTATTTTTACACCACAATGAGGACGTTTTCAACGAATGTTTCAAACTTTGAAACCTTCCTTAAAGCGCTCCGAACATGTGGTCTGGTCTCCCAGTCTGGGAACATCTCAAGGTGAAAAAAGGGAATTCAATCTGGACAAATCGATATTTTTAAATGAGCAAAGGCTCTTATGATAATGCACGCAATAAAAGATGTGGTGACAGCCCCAGAGAGACTCACCATTATGCCCCTGTGCCTAATCTCAGCTCTGCTAAGTTTTTTTAATCACTTTTAATTGATTATTTTTACAGCTTTGCGTTTCGATCACTCGCTGCCGCTGCCCAACTGGAGCTGCCCTCATTAGCAGAAAGAAAGCGAGATCTTCAGCCAAAAGCTCCACTGTCCCAAAGAGACAAATTTGCTGATAAACTGAAGAACATGCACTAATCAGATAGATATTTCTCTCTGAGTATAGAGGATACAAATTCAGTGCTTAGGGACTTATTAAATATTCACGACTCTTTAATTCATCTGATTTGGAAAAAAAAAAAAAAAACCTCTCTCGTTCATCTCTTTATGTGAGTTGGAGGTGGCCGTTATGTTGCACTGGGAAGCCTACAAGAAAATCTGAAGGTATACGTTAAGGTTCAGTTGTAAAAGGAAAGTTTCAGCAAAGAAACTTAGTAAAACTCGCTAAAAACAACCTCCAGCCAAAGACTCAGATGGAACCAATTGGAGACAGGTTTATTCCAAGTTTTGACACTACAGACTTTCTCTGTGTGCGCAACCAAGAAAGGCACCCCTCGACTTATCCACTTTTGTGAGCCGTATCGTATTAGGCGCGTTTTGCCACACGCCATGATTTCGTCCTTCAGCAACCTTATGTCCCCTGCTGAGCTCAGAAAGTTGACACGCAGAAGAAAGAAAAAAAAAAGAGCTTCTTTATGCCTGGAGGACATGGGGAAGCTCCTTTGAGCACCTGAAACTGAGCCGGAGCTGATCGATTCCTATTCTTTGAGAAGAAAAACAACGTCTTATGTAGATGGCCGAGGTTTGAATGGGAAGAAAGGATCCAATTTCTCCCCTGGACTGTGCGGCTGTCAGAAGATAGGCTGTGAGTGACAGCTCAGCGGTGCACGGATCCTGCAGCTACTTAAATGACAGCCAGAGAAGTAAACAGCATCAGGCTTATCAGAGCAAAGCAGCAGCTTGGAGGGCAACAGTTTGGCTGAACGGGAGCGACTTAAGGCACAGGAGTGTGCATCGAGCCCGCTAACCGAGCTCTGAGCCGCAGCGTCTATTCGACCTTGGATGTGTTTCCTTTCCCCCGTGACCCCAGGCACCTAATGGGTGTGTGGAACTGCGGCGGGATGAAGGCTGAATTTCAGATGGAGCCAAATGTCGCTTCTCTGCCCACTGCTATTTGGGTCCGCTTTGGAAATCGAATCACATTCAGAAGCACACGCAGATACTCATGTCCATGTGATAACATCTTGTGAAAAATGGTTCGCACAGACGTGCTGACATCTTGATAGTGGCTGCTTTAAATCAGAAACATGTCATAAGACTGATTTCTGCTTGTAAGATGTCTTGTGAGGGTCTGTTGCCAAGCAATCAGTCGTGTTAGACACAGCGCCTTGCAAAAAGGTTCATAGAGCTTTTTCAGCAAACTTGGCTGGGCTTCAATGGATTTTTTGGGGATTAATAAACACCAAGTGGTCACAGTAAAACAAAGTTATGTCAAGCTTTCATTCTTTCATCAAGTAGCCATCAGATGATGGCCAATCAATGGTAGGTTGTGGTTTTAGACAATAAAGGGGCGATTGAATCATCCATGACCAGCCCATGTCTTTTGTTACGGACTCTTTACTGTCTGAATACGGACAAGAAATTCAATCTCCCACACCGTTACACCGCCGGACTGAACCCTTGACACACGGCATTAGTGATCCATGATTTGATTTCGTTTACACCAAATTCTGACTGTACTGTCTAAATATCTCAGCTGGAATCAATCTGACATTGTCCAAATTTGTCGCACAGTTATAGATTGTAGCTCTTCCTCTTCTTCAGTCAGTGTCCTTGAAAGTTTGAGAAGTTGTGCGTTCAGAGACGGGATTCTGCGTGACGAGTGGTTGCTGAAACTGCTGCTGACTTTCTATCGTCTGAAATCTAGTTTCCTATGTCTACATCAACAAGGCATTTCGTTTACACAACTGACACTCACTGAATATTCGAAGACCATATTCTGCAAATCTTAGGACACGGCCGTAATACATCTCTGTGGATTTAAAATTTAAAGTAAAATTTTTGAAAGAAAATGAAATTTGGGTTGCTGAAATACCTAGCCACAATGCTACTAGAGATGCTATTGGCTGACAGCCAATCCAGGAGCTGCATTTATTTTGTTTTGGGCATTAATAGACTGCAAAAATAAGGAAGATATTGGATTTTAGCTATCTTCCAACATATTAACACTGTCTCTAGATGTATAGACAGTATTAATAGTGTCTAGTATTAATATACTGTTTATATTAATACATATAAAGGTAGATTTGGTGTGAGCTGTTACTAAAAGCAGTTTTAGGTGCTATTAAAGGGGGTATCAAGTATTTGTGGATCTTAGTAATAACCTATTAGCTACTATCAGCTGTATCTTCCCCTTTTTGAATGTAACAAGTTGTCTTTACCACACCTACATACTTCAACATATTGGGTAGCTATTTCCTGCTTGCTTTTTTATTTGCGCTAACAAGTAATTAAACAGGTGTATGTAATATGGTGGATGTCTGTGTTTGTGATCTTTCTCCACCAGGTCTCGCTTATCGTGACGTTTTCTCCCCCGAGTCGGAACTTGGTGGAAATCCTACATTCTCCTGCTGCATTTGCATTCTGAAGCACATCATACCCAATCTCTGTCCATCTGACCAAACACCAGTCATCGCCTTCACACTGCAGAGATCGCAGCGCTCGCATCTCTTACCAGTCGAGATGGAAAGAGATACTGTCACAGCTATGCCTGCAAATAGAAAACAGACTACCGTAGTCATGAAGTGTGTTTTCCTCCGCTGAGAGAGTTGCTTAGGGCAGTAATGCAATACGTCTACGGCTTCCAATGCATTTATGACACATCACATCCCCCCCTGTGGTGTCGGCAAGATGACAATAGAAGGCAAGCCAAGCGGGGACATGTGCATCTGTAAGCGAGAATATGTACATTTCGTGTCACTTTGTGTGCTTCTTTAGAGAGCGAGTGTGTTGTCGCCCTTGTATGTTCCCGGCACTTGTTTGGCAACGAGACAACGTGACGGTGTCACGGCAAGACGGATGAGATATGCGTGGGGAAGGGCTGAGAGATTAAAAGAGAGCAGCCTGAGAGGCAGACGGCGCCGCCTCTGTGAGAGTCCCTCACCTGCTGTCCTCCTGGTTGATGCTCATGTACATTTCCCAGGTAGTGTCTTCCGCGATCCCCCCGTGAGGCACCAGCAGACTGATACCTGCGGAGAAACAAAGGTACGCCAGAGCTGATCAGCAGGCAGCCGGCCGTGCACACACGTGACACACACCTGCTCAGCTGTCAGGCCTCTTTACCGAGGGAGACAGCTAGCGGGGTGACGGCCCCAGAATGGGGTGACAGAAGAGAGTCTCAGAGGCCTTGTGAAATGCAATGCTGCCAAGACCGCCTCTGTCGCAAGCAGACACACTTACACGCTCCATCTTTCTCAAACGCGTCCTCGCAAAAGCATTAGCAGCGTTGTTTGGTATCATAAACCGTTGCTACCAGTCTGGGGTACGTTTGCCACAACTATGGAGAAGTTCGCACATTTCTTTGCAGTGTTAATTATATGCTGAATTAGAGGCAGTAATTCATATGTATTTCGCTAAAGATAATAAAGATAATAAATTAGAATATTTGTCAAGTGTCATTGGTCAGATTAGAAGGACATTTTTTAAAACTAAAAACCTTTAATCAGGAACTACATACTTTTTTCAGTTTTTTTGTAAAGTACCAAAAAAAGTTTAATCTTCTGCCACATTCTCCTTCACATTAAAGAAACTGGAGTTCACACTCCTAGGAGGGTCGCATCAAATCAAATTGCCTCACAGTTGGCTCACCTGTGTTGGGCACCACCAGCCTGCCTCCAGCATGGCCAAACACCGCCGTTGCTTTGTGCAGAGGCCTGCTGAGCGTCTGAAAGACCCGCGGAGTGAAAAGGTTTTTGCCTCTCCTGCCCAGCGTTGTGCCCACTGCAACCCCTCTGTAGTCTGGAGCCAAGCCCCGTGGAAATGTCTGAGGGTGGGACATGACGTGGTACTCTGCCCTTTCCGTCGCCCCTGCGGAAACAATGAACGCTTTGAAATTCGCTTTGTGTAAACTTATGAACTCTGACGTCTCGCCGGTACAGCTGTTCAACCCGAACAAAAGGCAAGCGGCGCTCAGTGAGCAGCTTTGTTTACGTCTATGACACGCTCGTAGTAAAGCGATTCGCCCTCTGACTGTTCACTAAAGCTAATCCTGAAAGAGCGACTGAAAGTGCATCAAGCCTGCCTCTGCCAAGGATTGTGCCTCCAGCTAAAACAATGAGCCTGAGGGAAGAGCATCACTTTGCATCCAAAGAACCAGCAACGTAGTCTTTACACTGCAGATTCTATGTAAAAGGTGATTTTCACATCCTTCACGTCTAAGCTTTCAGCATTTAACAGTTGCTGTTTTTCTGTCTTGTGTCACACTAATACTCTTCCGATTTTTAAATTGTGTTCATAGTGTAAGAAAAGCTTTCCAAACTAACCAGGCCCCAAGTAAACAGTAAATGTCACACACACTCCACAGATATGACAGGACTTGATGTTTCGCAAAGTGAAATTTGTTTCTTAACATTTACGGACACGCAACACATCTATGTGATTCGTGTCAACATAAGGTCAGAGATTTGAAAGAGTGCGACAGCGGCTTCAGTTTCTCAGCGGCTGTTGCTGCTGGTGGCACAAATCCACGGAAAACAGGGAAGTTGTTCAAGATCGGCCATGTTGTGGTTTTCTGATACAGGATGTTGCTCCCAGCAACTTTGCAAGACAGAAAAACTCTGTCAGCTCTTCAGTCATCCACATCTGTTCTGTTCGTAGTCTTGTTTTATACTTTTCTTTTGACATTGTTGAAGTTACAGATGAGGTCGATATCAATTCTTTACACTTAATAGTGTCAATGGGTCTTTATTTGGAATCACAAATAATGTTTTAAGCATCTAATTCTAAATATAGTTAAATGTATTTAAAACTCGGTCCATTGAACGGAAGAGCTCCAGACCAGCAGGGGGAGTCAATCACTACAGACTGATTTCCTCGATGTCCAGAAGAAAGTTGAAAAGGCGTGTTATACTTGCCTTTTTTAATGATGCAGTCTTTTATATTATAGAGCAACAAAATACATATATAAATAAAAGTGTCTACTCTAGACTCCCTCTAGTGACATGGAGTATTTCTGTTTTGTGAAGCTTTATTTGCAGCATTTCTTACTTTCTGTTTTAGTTTTGTGTGTGTGGGTATTTTCCCTTTTGCTTCCATTTGCTGTGATTTTATCTGTGACTGCAGCATTTTCATTTTTTTGGTTTGCATTTGTCTTGTTTGTGGGTTTCTGCTTCTATTTTTTTCTAATTGCAAAATTTCTTGATGCAGCACGTTCTGCTGTTTGCTGCTTGTTTACACCCGGCAGCCATTGTACAAAAATTCAACATGATGCTCAAACTGGTATTTTCAGGACTGAAATTAAAACTTTATTTTTTAATTACTTAAGTAGGAACAGCATTCTTCCACAATAACACTGCTTAAGTTAAAGATGTAGTAAACCCACTCCTAGATGTACTTTTTTTTCCACTTATGAAAACGTAACTGAGTAAATGTAACTAATTACCATCGGCTGAGAGCAGATAAATTATCCATGTAAACAAAAGACCCTCATGTCAGCCCCTGTGTCAGAAGTCTTTATAGACAGAGAAATTGCCTGAGAGTGAAACCTGAGGTTTATGAAGCTGATATGTGACTGGGGATATTTTTATTTCTACTTTTTTCTGGTGGAATACAACTTGTGACCAGTCAAGCATTTCTATCTGCAGAGTCGAGGTTTCTCAACTTGGCCCAGCCGATACTTCCAAACGCTTGCGGCTGAGCTGCTGCGGGTCATGAGATTGCAAGCATTTGAGAAATAAATTGCAGGTCACGTATTTTAATATCAGTTTTCTGGGCAGCGGTTTTGATGTGTGAGCTCCCGGGCCAGGTACCGCATGTTTTCTTGTCCGGTCATTATGTGCCTCGGTTGTTGCGGAGTGCAATTTATGTCTACTTGTTTACACTAACGTCAAAAGGGTAACACCCCACACAAGACAAAGACAGAGTGGAGTGACGCTGCTCAATTTGCCTTCTAAAATTGTCTCAATAGAAGAGATCGGGTAGAAAGAGAGCAGTACAGTGGCTATCTGTTATGTTGTGTGCTGACAAAGGAACAGCCACAGAAAATAGAAAGCCAATTTTAAACCTCAGGGCATCATAAAAGCGGTCTTATTATTATTAGGTGCTAACATTATTTAAATTGACCTCAGGTCTGCAGAAAATAATATTAGGACAGAAGAAAGAAACTGTCAGAATGGTTAAGTCCAGCTTTGCTTCTTTCATAGGAGGTAAGAGGCAAAGAACCAGGAACATCCTGCTCCTGAAAGCACACGATTAACACATCAGCAGTCGGGTCTACCCTGGGAAAGCAGACCTGCTGGTTGCATCCGGGTCTGAAGAATGCTGATATGTTTTACCAAAGGCATAAGTAATTCAGTTGAATTCAATTTTGTTTATACAGCACCAATTCGCAACAACTATCATGTCAGGACGCTTTACTGAGCGAAACGTCGCAGCAGACTGTGGGCTGGGAGACGACACGGGAAACTGAAGTGATTTAACACCAGCAGTGTTTCTTTTAGCGGATTCATTTAGCAGAGAAACATGGCTAAACAGATAACTTATGTGCCTGCAGGATGAGAAACAGAGTGGAGAGTAACAGAAGTAGCACAGAGACCAATGAAAGCAATTGTATCTCCCTGTATAAAGCGTCACAAGGCTGTTTTCAAACAATTAAACGTCCATCATTCTGCGGCGAGGAACATTAGGAACAGTTAGAGAAGCATCAATAGTCTTCCATTCCAGGAAATAATCTCCAAAGGTTAGACTGTATGATGTTTAGAGAAATTGCAAAAAACAGGTTCATCTCAGACTCCACAGACTTAAGTTTTTAAAATCTTATTGCTTAAGGATCCAAAAAGCTTCACAAAGTATGGACTTCCAAGTAAATGTCTAGTCTATAAAAAATTGCGTTTCAGATCTTAGGTACGCCAACAAATAATTGAGGTCAACCTGACCTGTAATGCACTATACTGCTGAAGAGCAAATCACATGTTTCAACACAAACTATCTATTAAACATGGGCACCTTTAGTCTATCATCAACTCCTCTGTACACCAAGTTATTCTAAAGGTAAGCAGCTGGTTCATCATTAGAGACATGATCTCCTACACTGAAGCAATTCTGCCACAAAGTGACAGAAAAAGGTAGAATCAGTGTATTCCGATGTCCCAGTCAAAGTACTAAATCTCACCTTGATGGGAACTTAAGGGCCTTGCAGAAAGAATTGCATGCAGTACAATGTTGCAAAAGATTTCACATAAAACCCTACAAAAAATGGCCACACCAATTTACTGCTGCTAAAGGAGTTTCTATAAGGTGTTAGTTTTTCACACGTAGCCTAGCGTTTTGGTTTTTTTTTTGTTTTGTTTCACAGACATTGACATTTAATAGGCTGTGTGATTTGTTGTGCTCAAGCTTATATCCAAGCAATTTTAAAACCTTGTAAAGAACAGAAGTTGTGGCACTGAAACAGAGTGTGCTTCCTTTTCTTAGATATGTGGAACTTCAAGAAATTAGCTTGAACTTGTTAGAAAGGGTGCAACATACCTCCTTTATGTGCAGTTAAGCTCATCTATTTAAAGGATAGTCTGTGTGAGATAGAAGTGTTACTGTTAAAGGTGTAAGAAAAGGAGATGTGTGTACGTGCGCGTTTTATTAAGAATCAGTCTGCAAATGTTTCTCGAAGGTAGAGAGAGCGAGACGGCTCTTTGCTCTGATAGAATTTGGCAGCTCGTTCCACCAACAGGGAGCCGCAAATGAGAACAGTCTGTGCTCAGACTGCTTCGTGTTTAGAGACGGGCATTACCTGAGAGGAGCACGCTGTCATCTTTCAAAGATTTAAATAATTTCCCTATTCAATCTCAACTCATCTTACGGTTTCCTGTCTGAATCTGCAAGAAAGGGAAATTTGGTAATGCCTATTCAACACAGAAGATCCCCAGCAGGGAGAATATAAATATGACCATGAATCTTGTAGTACGGCTCGTCTAAATGAGTCATTAAAAAAACATACAAAAACATGGAATTTCTGATTTTTTGTTGAACGTGTGTCAACAACTAAAGCTCTTTTTATATGCAAGTGTAAAATACATTAAAAACATATTATAGTCTCTCTAGGATGTTGTGATTTTTAAATTTTGTTTTGTGATTGTTGCAGCCTAAAATTATTTACTTTTTCAGAAAGTAGCAAGTTTTCAAAACTTTATTTTTGACATTGCTGCACATAACGTTTGTAAGAAAGACTTTTGACAATTTCAACATAGTTAATATCCAAAGTGAAAATAACATTTACAAGTACGTTCTTGAAATAGGTCCCTTAATACGAATGAAATCACGTCACGATGAGTTGTCAAAGTGCAAAAATAAACTAACAACAAAAAAAAAACATTGATCAAGTAAATACGACAGAAAATTTCTCAATGGTTACTGCAAAAAAAATAAAAATAAATAAAAAATTAAAAAGAAAATGTTACTGTTTAGCATCTTGCAGGTTTGGCATTCAAGACACATCGAGAAACAGGAAGTTGAGTTGAGAAGAGGGTAAAAGGGATTGGTTAAAATTCACCCAAGTTGAACTGATTGCGAGTCTGAATGATGGCTGAATTTGCATCAATAGTTGTGATTGAACTTCCTGGAGGGACAGATGTTGGCGCTAACATATCGGGGGACACGGACTGAAGAATCAGTCTGTTATGAATGAAAAGTTTCTTTAGAGGCAAAATAAAATGCACTCAAAGAAAGGAGAATAAATCTCCTTCTACCAGTTGAGTTTTCTAACCTTTCGCCTTCAGATCAGGCAGCGGGTCGAGGAGCGAGTGCTCGGCCATTAACTCCTTGTCAATGGAGTCCTGGAAACATATGGGGCTGGTATATGTACGGGACACGGTGAGATCCGGCTGCATGGATGAGTTCATGAGCAGGGGGTTTGCTGAAACACACACACACACAGAAAGAGTGAATTGTTGACAGCAGGTAGATTCCTTTTAAAGACATTTCAACACATTGACACTTTAAACAAGAGGGTTGTTATTAACAACTTATGTAACCTGAGTGCATGTCAATAAAATGTCGAGGGTTTTTTTCATTGTGTGGAAATGACAAAAAAAGCAAGAATGTCATGCATTTACAGAAATGATGTCTTGCTTAGCAGCAGGTGGTGTTATCTGATAATCAACTTTCAAAACAGCTACAAAAACTCACATATTTGCATGTAAATGGTAATATCGTCAGAGGACACTGCCACTGAAAGACTTCCTCAAGGCAACGACAACAGCACATGATTGTGAAATGAAAGGGAAATGCATGTTGTCTTTATATTTGCTTCAATTAAAAGATGAGGAGGGCTTTTATATTTTAAATGACTGTTGGGATTCGAACAGAGAAACCCTGTGACCGTAACCCAGAGCCGTTTAAACGCTTTCATCGGTGACAATGAAACCAAAAACGATACACATGGATGGTCAGTGAATTGTACAATGGACCGGTAGCTCCAAACTGTTCTCGGACTTTCGTCTAATCACAGATGTTTCTAATAGAGCAACATCAAAATTTCTGTGGATAAAATGCAACGTCTGAGGTGCAGGGCTACTTGACAAAGCTACTGGCCGTTCATTTTCCTCTGCTTTGATCGGCTGCATCCCCAAACCGGATTTTAGAGGGACACTCAAGTATTTACGGATCTCAGCCAATCACTGTGGTCTTTAACTCCCATGAATACCACAAGTCTTAACTTGCACCAGTTCAGGCAATTAGCTTAGGAGACGATGTTGCAGTATCTAACTTGTGATCTTTCATAGTGGCAGAATCATGTCAAAGTGTAAATGAGATTCTGTGGAAGAAAAAGATGATTTCAGAGAAAGTGAGCATAAAATAAGAAATTAGACTAAATGTTATTTGCTGTAAAGTAAAAATATTTTGTGGGTCCGAATACCTTTACAAACAATGTTGTGACCCAATACTTTTATAGCAAAATAGCACATAGAAGATGGGATTGTTTGCTAAAAAGGAATTTGATTCTTCTTTTTATTTGACAGATTTGATCAACTAATGTTTTATTTTACACAAATGACAGAAGAAATGGACCGAAGTAAGAACAAAAATTTCAGACACAAGCTCAGCAAAGTTTATGTCGGTGTAATATGTTCGACCGACTGGGAAAAAAGAGAAAGAAAGTAAAAACTGTAACTGATTGCTGTGATTTCACTAGAAGCAGCATATAACTGAGTGACATATCAGAAGGGGAGCACATGCAGGATATTATGACGGTTCTAACACAAGGAGCTGAGACCAAGATTAAAGCCTTCCCTGCCACCTGTGGTGTTATAAAAATGAACTTTATTATGCCTGGCTGAGGGCTCCTGCTGTGGCCAAGCATAATGCCTGTCTGGAAAAAAAAACCCACACACACTAATGTTTTTGCATTTGCAGCGTGAGCGTTTAATCCCTGAACTTCACCAAAAAAAGAAATTGGAAACACTAATAAATTGAATTTTTAATTCTGCTACAATGAATAATTGATTGAGGTGTTGTTGGTTCAAAAAAAAACAAACAAAAAAAAACAAGCATGTTGATTAATGCACTCTGCGGCAGGAGAACAAATATCTAAGTAATAATAGATAAGAATGAAATTACACAGATTCTTCATATGCTTTACCGTTTGTTTTGGACAAAGTTTTATTAGTCGGGCCGTGGCGTTGTTTCCAATAAGATTCAAAAATCTCTGCATGTTCTATAGATTAAGCCGCATTATATCTGTCATTTTACCTCCAACTCAGACATTAAGACTCTCCAAAAGCCTTGCAGTAAACAAACTAAAAAATTAAAAACTGTCATTCTCATCCCGGCTCCTAAAGCATTTTAATAATTGATGCCCATTAGTTAAGTCATAACACAAATACGTAAATGTATAATTCATGAGTAATCTAAGTAATAATAGATAACATGAATGCAAACATTGTATGGACTGTGTGGACGGTGCTTTCATTCAGATGCATTAGCATCAATATTTCAGCACTTTTTATGGTTTTCAAATTAAAATAAATACCAACTTGAAAAGGACAAAATCCTTCATCCTTTGCAGAAGTAATCTCTGCTCCACTGTTAATCTTTGGGAACGTAAAGCGCTCGTGATGGTGTGTTTTGTGTTTGTTTCTTACAAAGCCAATCTGCAAGAGTGACATTTTTCTGTCTTTTCTCTCTCAACTTTTGTGTTCTTCTGCTATTTGAAGGGAAATGGCATCCTTTTACAATGTCCATGCAGCCAATGAATGACATTCAGAATGCAATATGCTCTCACTTTATTTATGAGGAACAAAACAAATTTGATTGGAGGGTTTTTCTTTTGTTTATGGTTCATTCAAACCATAAAACCAGCTAGCATACTAGATGACTGCGTGGATTTTATTTTTATGGATCACATGTTGAAGTCATAAAATGTATAATTTTGCTGTATTTTCCACTAATTTCCTTATTTACTCTCCTGATTTCTGAAAAGTTAGGTAACAAGTGGGACAGAAAAGTCAATTGGCGTGTTTGCATTAAGCAAACTTATTTTTGAAATATAAAATTGTGCAATTTCGCGATCAATAGAGAAGCATATGTTGTCAAAGTTTACACAGACAAAGATCTGTGTAAAAAGTAATTGACCCTAAATATGACAACTAGTGGGTCACCCTTGGTGGCAAAAGGTGACATCAACCATGTGAAAACTGGCACTGAGTTTTGTGCATATCTATGGAGGAGTTAGGCAAAATCAGCCATACTGACGGCTATTCAAAAATTTGATGCCTTTTTTTTAAATCAAATTTTAGAGTGTACTTTGACTAGGCCATTTTTGTCCAATTGAATCACTGACAATGACCCTAACTCCATGAATAAAACTAGCCAACCCAAGGTTTGATACATATCTCTGCTTATTTTAAGTGGCTATAAAATAAATCTAAGAGGTTTCAAAGTGTTATTTTGGAACATGTCATGTAGACTGGTTCACCCTCAGAAGTTTGCGTGTCTCGTTCTCGGAAAGCAAGTTGGAATTTGGAGGTAAAATCTAAAACAGAGCTGGTAAAAAAAAAAAAAATCTGCATCTGACAGTGGAAGTCTCGTAGGTGAAGGTTTAGTTTGAGCTGACTTATCCCTGCGAGACTCGGTCACTGGCTTACCTTGACGAGACGTCTTGAAGCTGAAAGACTGGAAGCCCCCAGTGAGGGCAGAGGAGTCGATGACATCGACCCCGTACTCACTTTGGCTCCGCCGATACAGAGTGACGACGACGATCAGCAGCACCACGGTCACCACTCCCGCAGCCAAGCCTGAGTACAGGGCCACATCACTGGTTCTTTCCACTCCTTCGAAGGTTAGAAGGGAAAAGTTAGAACTTCTGTCGCAGTCTGGGAAATGTTATTGTGTCTAATTAGGACAACAGAAGCAGCTTCTTCCCTTAGAAGCCCAAGAATCCGCGTTGCGAAAGAATATTAAAGTTGTGGAAGTCGGTGGGAGGCAAATCTACCTCTGTTCCAAACTACATGAGAGCCTTTTTGTTTCCTATCCTGATACACAATTTTATTGTTCCTTTCTGCAGAGTTAAGACTACTAATGAGGAACCTCGGAAGAAAGGCGATTATAATCAACCCAACACCTGACTGTCATTTCAAACACTGCTTGGCTCTGGTGTTGGAGGCTCTCTGCTTTCCACTGGGATAATGTGACAAAACCAATTCATTAAATTAGCTCATCGGCGACGATTACGCTCTATCTGCTCCCGCCAGTATTGCGGCGTCCAACTCCACAAAGAAAAGGAGCGGGGAGAAAACAGAAGCTGCTAGCTTGTTCTTGAAAGATAATGAGATCTTTGCTAAAAACAGGACATGCTGAGAAATCCTCTAAGTAGCCTGAAGCTCAAAGGGAAGAAAATTGACAAAATATGCAAAGCGGTATTAGCAGCCATAGTGGCAGGTTAATTGAGGGCTCAGGAAAGTTACGGAAGCCTGAATGCATTTTTCTTACCGCTGGTGACAAATGGAAATAGTGATTGTTGTTAAAGGACAAGTAAGGAGAACACGAGCTTCTGGCTCCGTATGGATCAAAATGACACTGCAGCAAATTCCTCTTTTCCCTAAACAGCAATTAAGCATAAACCAGTGACTTTGCAGTGGATATCCACCGACAGGTGTGACCCGGCATGCCACACCGGACGAAGTCAAAATTAAGAGATTTATTAAAGGGGAGCTACGCGTATTGATACAAGATGCTTTAAATGCTGCTTTTAACAGCAGCCTGCTTAGTTATTTACCCTACAAGGCAAATAAATGTCAGAAAGATTTAGAGCATCAGTGAATTGTCTCAATTTAAAACGTGAGGATTCCACTGGGAGTTATTTTTCAGATTCACATGTATTAAAGGGATTTATTTGTTAGACTAATCTGGGGCTATATTTCATATGTTAGTCTATATTCTTCACAATGCCACAATTGTGGTGCGCATGCTATGTTTTAACAATCAAGCTGAGGCATAATTAGTCAGGAAAAGCACCTATTTAAACACTTAAAACACCCAGTTCCACATTCAAGTCAATTTTCACGCATCACTGACATATATATATATATATTTCCTTTTGTTTTAAATTACAGCTGAAACATGCTAATTTGCATCAATATATTACCATCTATGTTATATGTTTCATCAGTAAGTCATAATTTGCCCTCGTTGGAAGTTCCTGTAATAACAAGTTAACTTTATTTAATCTAAAGTATGACATTGGCTGTGTATGTTTTTATTAATTTTCTTCTTAATGTGAGCACTGCCAGGTCTATGATGCTTATTGAAGCACAAAACACCCCAAAAAAACAAACAAAAGAAAAAAAATCTTTTACATTTCTCATTTAACAGAACTTTTCAGTTCATATAATATTTATTGTATTCTTCTTTTTGACTTTCAAATATGATCAGTATCACACTTTTCAAGGAAGAAAAAACACTTTTTGGAATTGTGTAGCGAAACAGTTCAGCCCAGTTTCCCATTGTCATCCAATGGAAACTGGTCTTGTTGATGGGATCTAAACCTCAACCCACAGTATAGAACAGTATAGGTGCTAAATTCAGATAGATTGCACTGGGACTTGGGATGCTCCTCTGCTTAACCATCTGTTATTGATTCCTTGTGGGGGAAAAAAATATGTCTGCATGTCTTGAATAAATGGTTATCAATACTGTTGCAAACTCGACCGTGTGTTATTTCTTTTTAATATTATTCCGAAGACAAAATATAACGATGTAATGCCAAATATGATAAAGTGTTTCTTTAAAAATATTTTAAATGAAGAGATGTTCTACTATTGTCCACTATTGCAGTGTTTTTTGAATCTTCAAAAAAATTAAAAAAACCTATTAATATTCAAATTTTTCATAATGCACAGGCAGAAACAACTTTTACTTTGTTTTTGCCAAATAATGACAGTGAATGATGATGATTACATACAGAAAATATTAAGATCAGAGAGTGTAGTGATTATTGCTTGATTAAAATATCTTATATAAGGAAATAATCAAAACATTTGGTGCATTTGTGAACAGACTTACAACCTCTTCATTTTTCAAGTGTCGCACAAAAAAACCCCCCAAGTAATCCATGAATCCTCCGTCCTCCGCCTACTACTGAGAAACAACTGGGAAATCGCACCCCTTCGAAATTTAGGATTAAGGGCAAAGACTGATGACAATGGGTAAAATTGGATTAAGTCTTATTAATGATTACATGTGGTCCAAAAAAAGTCCTGATGACAGTAATTTCCTGGCCAACTAAAACTGTTGCTCATAATAATCCCAGTAGGATCCAGAAGCAGAATGGCAGGGATCCAATGTTGAGTCTGTTGAACACATTCATGGATGATTATAGCTTAGCAAAATTGCGAAAAAGAAAAAATTACGTCTTACATTTGGAGCGAGAAAAAAATGGCTCTGCATTAGCATTTAGTGTGCAGAGTGGTTTCACATCATTCTAAAGCACACGTCAAAAGATGTTATGAATGCTTGTCTATTTATGTTTAAAGACTTGACTGACTGTACAAAATACCTAAACATAGCTACTAAATGCAGCATTTAAAATAATTTAAATCAACATGGAAAATATGTTAAAGCTATGGTTCTCAAGAATATAATAATGAGAAATGTCCAAACAGTACTACTGTTTGTAAAAAAAAAAGAACAAAAAGGGGTGTGTAGACTTTCCTTGTCCTGCCATGATTTCCACTGTAAAACCAATGCTCCTCTGTACGGTCCCGCGGGCGAAACATTCCCCGATAAGAGAACAATCTCCAATCCTCTATTGTCAATTCACAGAGGTTTCAAGTCGATGGAGGTCCAAGACTCTGAGGAGGATCGATTCGGAGGCCCCAGTCTACCTGGTAACTCACCGTTTCCTGATTGTGCATTACTTCCTGTTCAGATCAACCCATCTCCCTCACAGAGTCTGAACTGAATGCCGATCCCGGTGTAAAACTGCTGGTCAAATCTTACATTTTGATTATTGTCGATAAAATTCACTCAGACTTTTCTGTGGACTAAGTTTTGGGTCAGATTTGAACTAGAACTTTTACAGCAGAGAGAAGAGAAAAACATTTATGAACAACCGTAACCTCAACATTTGAAATCATTGTTCTGAGTTATAAATAAAGAGACAGTTGTAGCAATGAGAGTTGTATTTGCACTTCTGGCAGTCAGTATTATAATAACTCTTCACACATAAGGAAATTGGTTACTTTATGCCTCACTAGAATGTGAATGCAGAAAAACAAATTACTATTAGCTTGTGATGCCAGGGGTTGTTGCCCTGGCAAATTCAGGGAAAAAAAAACTGGCAAACGTGACTTTTTTTTTTTTAATTGCATCCTGAAGTTGTTGAAACTTTGTATATGTATTATTTCTTGATTGAGGTTCTGACAGCAGAAGTAAACAGAACGGAGCGTAAGCAGAAACAGGAACGTTTTAAAATGCTCCTTTAGATCTATTTTTTAAAGCTCAATCTGTTTGAACTAATCTTTCTTTGGCTGATTTTCTTATTAGCTCTATATTCTGGTTAATTGGACGTTTCTTTACAACGTGAATAAGTGATTCCAAAATTTCCTCAGAGGACCAGTGAAGCAGTCTGTACGGTCGTAATCCAATATATCGTTAACTTCGGGCAACGATTTCAGACTCTAAATGAATGAGTTAAAAGGATGCACTTAGTAAAATACTGTAATCTGTCAGATGCACATTTTGTCAGTGAGTGGAGTCGACATTAGCAGTTTAAAAATTGATTTGGAAGTTTGGATGGCATGAGGGAAAAACTCACCCTGAGGCTTTGCGTCATGGAGCAACTTCCGATCTGCAGGCAGACAAAGAAATTCGTTTCAGAGTTTGCAGCAGGTCTGGAGCGTCGGTTCATTCAGTCGCTACTTGTGCATGCGTCCCGGCCTGAACACACTGTGCTTAATGTAAGTCAAGTGGATGAATAATGAAGACGGATGAGGGTGTTGGTAATGAGCATGATTATAATGATCATGATCCAGCCTGCTCTGCCAAAGACGATAAACATTTAATGTATAATGACACAGTCTCTAAGCATCATGCTTACAGACAGTAATGATCCCCAACTGCCTGTTTTTTTATTTCATAAGCAGATGATGTTACGCACTCTGAGTGCAGAGGCCGCCCGTGCAGTTTTCCGCTGCCGAAGCCGCGCCTTCGCAGAGTCGTCCTCCATGTTTGGGCTCTGGAGCCGTGCACTCTCTGGCGCGCTGCCTGTCGCAGTCGGAGCTGCACACGGACCACTCGCTCCACTCCCCCCAGCCTCCGTCGACTGAGCGGCAAAACACAGGCGGAGAAGAAAAAAATACATATCACCAGCATAAGTAATCGACAGAGCACAGATGAGCAAATGCAAATGCAATGCACAGAAGAATAAGGCTGTGTGAGAACAGATTCTACTCCAAGATGACTCTCTCAAAAGTTGTTTGATTCTTTAAGGGAAACACTTTTAAAGTAACCGCTGCCATACTCGCAACGGCCTGTCAAAATACTTTGGGAGTCTTCTCGACTGGGAGCACAGAGACTCTGTTTGTGCCACATCCAATCAAGTCTCCTTCCCGCCTCCAAATGTTCTGCAAGCTCCCTTCCTCCCGCTGATCTCATGAACCCTTTTTATGTCTCCAGACATGAGAACGAATTCCTCCCAAGAGTGAGAGCGCTGGCGTCCCTGATAGCCTGTTTGATTGAATGTGATAGATGTTTTTTTTTTTTTCCCAAACCGTACAGTGGTTGAAATCATACAGTTTGGGATGAAGTCGGAAGATGTTCCTCTGTTCTGGCCAGTCATCTGTGTTTTCCAGATTTGTTCGTTTTAATTGTGCTTTCGGTTTCAGACACAGGCCAAAAGCTGCCCAAAGATGTTTAAACCACCATCCTATTGTGTAAGAGAGTATTTCTCTTTGTTTGCTTTTATTGCACTGAAAAAAGAGAATGGAGTGGCAACGTAAAAAACAACTGTGTTAATTGGTCATAAATAACAGAGAGAGGTTAGTCAAACGTAACTTATTTACGTGTGTTTAACTTTAACAACTGAAATGAACTAGAATAAACTTATTTCGATGATTTGTGATTAAAATAAACATATTTAAATAAACTGGCTTACTTGGTTTCCTTTATCAGTGTTTTGAGACCATCTTGCCTTTAAGGACAAGTTAAAACTGTGAGCTGTTTAACTTGCAGCCCAAAAAGTAGCATTTAATAAATAAGTAATTTCTTAAATTTTTTTTTCCAGACCAAAATAACAGCGCTGATCGACCAGAAACATTTCAGCAAAAATATTTTCAACCTTCATGTTAACGTGGCTCAAAATGTCCCTTTACATAGGCAGTTTCAATCAATCTCTTTAAAGCTTTAAATGCTGTTTACCGTGTCTATTCATTGTCTTTATTCTTGTCTTTTAAGCTCATCTACATATGTGGCAACAGCATATTAAAACCCAGAAAACTTTGATGACTTTTACCTTTTCTTTGAAAACTTTGAGGAACTTATTGCTTCTCGGTTCTGTTTGATCACATCAGTCCCTGGGCAGAAGAGCTGAGCCTAATTCAATCATGATAAATAACTCCAGGCAAATGTCAAAGTTGGAGTCCTAAAAGCAAACCAACACGTTCTTTCTCCGGATGAAAGCCTTCTTGTTTTTGACACTGATGCCAGAGAACATTTGATCTTGTGGATCCACAGTGGACGCAGGGCGTGGCTCCTGTGGATTACATTTGTTCCAGTGAGTCACACAGATGCTTGATCGGATGGGGAACTAGAGAGTTTTGAGATTTAGAGCCTTTTTTTTTTTTTTTTTTTTTTGCTGTGTTGCCTGATCCACTTGTGGGGTTGCTCGGCAACAAAGTCGAGGTGTGTAATTTTTGTAGAAGCACAGCATCTGCCAGAATCCAAGAGATTCCCAGCAGAACGCCGAGCTGCTGGTAAGACGAACAGTCCAATCCAGCCCGACCTGCCCAAAGATTTTAATAATCCTGATCTGTGATTTAATGCGAGTGCAGCTTTTCCCGGGCCTGCTGCAGCGCACGGCAACGCGTTGCTCTCACCTGGACACACGGTGTTGCACGTGCTCTTCTGCACCGACATGCCCTCGCAGAAGGCTCCGCCGTTGAGAGGCGCCGGGTTGGTGCAGGTCCGCGATCGTTTCTGCACGCCCCGCCCGCAGCGCACGTTGCAGGCCGACCAGTCGCTCCACGACGACCAGCCTCCGTTCACTGAGTGCAACCGAGATTCAAACGGGAGAGCAGTCAACGCTGTTTCATGTTTCGTGTACGACATCACAACCTTTCCGACGCAATGCAGGCCGTTTGACTAACCTGCTAATTTGCTGTCACAAGGGGGGAAAAAAGGGAAGCAAACGCTATTGTTCCACTGCTAAACATTGCCAATGGTAGGCCTGTCAGAGCCCTTCATTAGCTTTATGGAACTTAATAATTGATGGTCTTCAGCAAGCCGCCATAGCGGGAAAGAATCAGATATGTTCCCACTGCAGCTTAATGCTCTCGCTGAATAAAATAAAGTATGAGGTCGGTGAAATGGGCATGGAAACACTAATCAATGCCTTGCTTTAGTCAAAGAAGCTCGATGCAGGCGTGACATTGTAATTTCACTCTGCACTGGCCTATTAAAAGCCCGAGAACATTGTTTGCTTGCCTGTAGCTGCATAAAGTGCTTTGAAAAAGGGATTTAATGCAGGCACAAATAAGCTGCGAAGTGTCACTGACCTCATGGCAGCTGCTTTTCAATCATGAATAATAAGACTCCTGTAAATATTGTGACTGCCTCCATGCTTAACGCTGGTCAGTGATGATAAGCCGCTCACAAGACTCAAGAGTCCAAAAAGGACCACTTTCCAGTGGTGTCTGTTCAGTATATAGGAGGCAATTTGACACCATAGCAATGAGAGATTGACATTCGATTTACCACTGCTTTCATTCCACGTATTGCAAATCATTTATTGTTCTACGCTGCTGCACTGCGTTTCACTTTCACATCTTACCGTAGACGACAACCATAGCCGTGGCACTGCGTCTGTTGGCCACAATGTTGCTGGCAACACAGGTGTAGTTGCCGGAGTCAGAGAGGCGGGCCTCCGAGACGATCAGCTCATGGTCGCCCTTTTTACCGATCACGCCGTCGGCGCCAACTTTCAGAGGCTCCTCGTTTTTCACCCATTCCACCTGCAAAGAAAGAAGAACGAATCAGATTGCTCCTTTTTGTAGCACTTCAAGTACGAGAGGAGGTGCACTTCCTGTGTTAGCAACTTTTCCACGAGCTGATGAAACGCCGCAATCCTGGGGGCTCTCTAATGTGAGATTTCTCAGGAGGATTACGTCGAGATAAGAGCGACACGCGCCTTTTGTTTTATCATATGTTATTATGGAAGCCTGTTGTATAAGTGTGTGATTTTGATTAGTATTTTGGAGCAAGCTGCTCTCTTTCCTGCTGCTGCACTCGGCTCCGAGTCGCACTCACCACGGCAGCCCTGATAAGACGTGTAAAAATAAGCGGGAAATTAGATTAAGTTTTCAAAGGCACCAGCGTAATCTCACACTCAAATTTTCAACCTTTGATTACGTTTTGAGTTTATTTTTTTTCTACATTCTTACTAAATTCTTCAATTCCCATCAAGTAAATAATGCTAGTTTTTTATACCTTACTTTTTTTTTGTAAAAGACTGATGATGATGTCACCGCCAAGCACAGGGAAGTTAAAAACCGTAGTAAAAAAACTGAAAAACAAAAGTTGCTTCCTTACTTTTCACAAATCATTTGTTTTGTGCCTATAGACATGCGACAAAGTGGGTCACAACTCTTGAGTTACAACCCAGAACCATTTTTAGCTGTTAAGGATGACATGGTGTTTATCTGTCAACGTTCGGCAGATGTATCAGAGCCTGAACTCACTCAGACACGCTGTGATTATTCCATCAACTTGATGCAAGTGAGCACAGTGAGCAAAACAGGCAGTTTTTTACAATTTATATCAATTTACATGATGCTTTGGAAGGTTAATTATGTTAAGATGCTAATTTTGAATGGTAGAGCTTGTTGTACTGTACTATGCTCCTTCAAAATAATAAGGAAATGCTGCAGGAGAACAAAATATAAGCAAGAATGCAATGATATCCAAGTCTCAAAAAGACTGTCAGATGATGTTACTGACAGAGAAAGAAAAATAAGTGATGTAGGGATGTTTACCAACGCCTTGCATCATTTCTGTAAGCTTTGAGAAGTGAAGAGACCCGCTGCCCGGAGTGTTAAAAGCAAAACCTTCGTCTATTGATGTTTGCTTCGAGATTTGAGCGCCGCGGCCTTGGAGGGCCCCCTTTGTCGAGTACTTTGTTTTCGATGTTTCCAGTGGACGACAAGTCAGAACTTTGAAAAGAGACCAGCTGAGCCGAAAACAAAGCTCTGCCGTTGTGACGCATGCAGATTAAGGTTTCTAGGTGAGACAAAGATTGTTCTTTTGATGGAAGCACATGTTGCTCCGGATATCATTCAGCATTAATTGTGCCATCTAGATAAACACCCATCCCATATGCCCAGGGTTTCATAGGACGCAAAAGAATTTCAAGTTTTGAAACACCAGATTCAAGAAGCAGTCTTTGAATTTTCGTTTTGCTTCCTTGGTCAACTTTAAAAGATGAACTTTTTGTGTGTTTTGAATCTTTGCATGGTGTGTTTGCAACTTTGAATTTGTGTTTTCTGAGACTAGCAGTGATTTTCACCACAGGTTGTCTGTAATGGCTCAATACTTGGGAGATTACAGCCATTCACTACTGATTTTCTCTGTTTTTTCTTTTTTTTTTTTTTTTTGCTTGACAAAATCCCAAAATTGTTTCAGATTTTACTTTGATAGGCAATATTCCTAAAATTTTGAGCAATTTTCACTTTTTGACAGCAGCGTGACCTCCTCCCTCCTCATTATTTCTCTCTTTCCGAAGGACTAATTGGAATGTGCTTTCAGCTCCAAATTATCACGACTTGTTGGTGATTAATCTTCCACCGAGTGTTTTACACAAATTTTCTATAATTTTGTTGTCAACTTTCCAGTTCTTCTTTGGAAAGTGTCACTGGCGTCAGATTTTAGAATGACCCTCACATAAAGGAATGTTGTGTTTTTTCTATTTATTTATCTACTAATGTGATGCAGACTGTTTATCAAGCTCCTAATATATGCCTGGAATATTTACTAAAGTAAAAAGTTGGACTAATTTATTATTCACTTTAACTCATAGCTTACCAAGTATCATACACTTTATGCTGCGGGGGAAGTTTAGCCAAAATAAACAGCTAACTCCAATTACTGACTTTACTGTGGTAATTTCACAGTTTACTTCTTATTTCTGAGCAAAGCTGTCAAGGACCTTCTTCTACTGAAATGTTTTTAATGACACCTTCAAATGTATCTCTAAACTTTATTGACAGTGTCATAAAAAATTCAATTTATTCGGCTGGTTTTTATTGCAAGTTTCAGATGATTAAGCAAATTGTTCATTTCACCCAAATATATCCGGAGTAAATTTAACATAGGAAACGGTTCTTACTCTTAACTTTCTTTTACTGAGGGAAAAACAGCTATTTTAAACCAGCTGACCCTGAGTGAAAAAGTAATAACCCCCTAAACCTGTTAGCAGGTTGCACCGCCATGCTGCCATCAAGCGTTTGCAATAATTGGAAGTGAGTTTCTTTTTCCATCAGTAGCAGTATTTTTCCATTTTTGATCAAATGTTTCGGAGCCAGGATGAGGAATTTCTTAATTTGGTGGTATCAAAATTGGTTTATTTTGCAAAACTGCAATGGAAACTTTTTTCTTTTTGTGTGTCAGAGTCACACGAGTCAGATGATCAACAACCGGATGCTGCCACTGGTGCAACCACAAAGAAGACGACAACAGGAAGTAGTTTGAAGACCATGGCGCAGAATGTTATTTTAAGGATTTGAGTGAAACTTTGCAGATTTTCAGGTTTATTTCATCAATTACCGGAAGTTTTCTGGATGTGGTTTGAGGAGTTTTCCCCCCTCTCTAATAACTGAGCATATCAACCTCAGATGATTAATGCTCCAGCGAACATTAAAACATAGAAACAGCTTTTTTATATTCACTCTAACTATACGTGAAGAGCTGAAACATTTCTGTGTTTAAAAAGTAAAAGAACAACAATAAAATCTGAAAGGGGGGAAAAAAAAGACTGTACGTCAATTTTAACCTCGGTCATAAAAAAGAAAGAAAATACCAGAAATAGTTTACATTTATCAAGACGAGATGGGGTCCATTTTGCAGTAATTGCAAAATAAGTAGTTTGTAAGAAAGGAAGCACATTGCTGACAACAACCCGGAGTGAGTGATGTAGTAGGTAGGTCACATCCACTACCGTTACCAATTCATTGTCCGTGCACCGAGTGAAAGTAATAAGGAATTACAAAATAAAAGACGCTCTGTTGATGCTCCCTTCCTCGCATGACTGGCTCTGTAAATTGCTATTAATGTGCCACTAGCATGAGCTGTTCATTGAGAGGGACGAGCCGGAGCGTGAGGACGGGGTTTGATTTATGGCCATGTGTTCGGGGATTAAAACTCCGCCCCCGCTGGGAGCTCCATGTGTTGGTGCATTGGCGCGGTGGGGGCGGGGGCCGGGGGGTGGCGGCATGTGGGTGGAAGTGGGTGTCCATTTGCCAGAGGAATTTAACAAGAACCACTGAACTTGGAGATTGCTTTGCTTTTTTCCCAAAACCCTTGATAAGAAAAAGAATATAGAAGTCAGAAAATCGATAAATCAAGAGTCACGTTGTCACAACTGGGTGCTTTTTCTTTTTTTTGCCTTTGAAGGCTGAGGAAGTCTTTCATCATGTGGGTTTAATTTAGCGTTTTAGTTTTACAGGATGTTTCTTTGGACCTTTCAGCACTCACTAAACAGCGTTGGTGGGTTGAACTGGACCGTCAGAAGGCCTTATATATCAAAGCAGTGCTTAAATCCTCCACCCATGTTTTTTTTTTTCCTGTTTTTTTGGTTTAGTTTTTGTAGTGACTGATACAATTTGGTAGTAAACAGAGAAAAACTGCATCAATTTGATTAATGACATAATGTTTAAGCAGACTTAATGTTTGGTCTAGAATATAGAGGGCCACATAAAACGCTATGGCGGGCCGGATTTGACTTTGACACACGTGACTCAGAGGGTCTGAATACAAAGACAAAACACACTTTCTAGGTCGGACTTTTGTTTTTTTTTACATTTTGAACACCATGTATCGTTTTCCTTCCAATTCACACCTAAGCATTGATTTTTTTGGAGGCTCTATCACTTAAAATACCAATTGAAGTTTGTGCCTCTAATGTAACAACATAAGGAAATGCTTAAGGGGTGTGAATACTCTTCAAAGGGACTTTGTCGTCTTCAAGTACAGAACTAGTTTATCTTCGATCTTTTACCTTAACCAAGTTTTAATCATGATGAAGAAACATTCCACCTCTTTCATTTCCGTATTCGACACCTGCTCTCGGAAACAAGCAGACATGAAACCAAAACCGCATTTTTCAACATGGCCGTATGTTTACTTAGGTAGTGATCAAGCAAAAAATGACATTTAAAGGAAGATTCATACATCTAATTGGGTGTTATACTCTTTATTGTAAGGCTAGATTAAAAAATAAAAAAATCTTTCTACAATGTACCAGGGGAAAAGGTAATCAAATGGGATATTGCTATCAACAATTTGCAAGTTTATAAGCATAATAGTATGGCTTTTATTTCTTAAAGTTAGCATCCAAGGGATTAAATTGGAGATGTGTTTCCATTCATAGCAAAAAGCAGCTAAACTAAAAACCATTTTCCGACATCTTATTAATCTTGATGGAGGAGTAAAAGACGCTGGAGTTTAACCTCCGACCCTTTTATTCTTGTCTTCAGATAAGATGCATATTCATGGAAAAACGCTGGAATTGAACTTGACAGGAACTGAATTTAACGCCTGGGTTGTGCGAATTTAATGCATTTAAACACTTAGCAGGTAATACCACCAAAGGAATTTCTTTCAGACTCAAAAATGGCCTCTGACAAAATATGCATGTCTACTTTCTGACAATGACGCAAAAACAAATAGCCAGGAAACCGTGTCGCTGATCTTTTTTTTCTACATTTACACCTGATCTGAATTAAATCCATTGTGCAAAGAC